TAATTATTTTTATATTATTTTTATCCAAATACAAGGCGGATAATTTATCGTCAACTTTGTTAAAAGCCCCTGGTAGTATATTAATTATATTTATATTTGTTAGATAAAGTTCCGTGAAATTAAATTTTAATATTGTGCTCTGAAAAAATAACGATGTAATGTTTTCTGGTACATCTTCTGATATGCGAAATATTCTTGGGATATATTTCTCAACATGATATTGACAATAATAATCTTCACTAATGTCTTGTTGGATATTTTTAATACTTTCAATATTTGTACAGGTTAGGTTAAACTTTGTAAAACATTGGAAGTAATGTCTATTATATGCACGTGGATCATATATTTCCTTTTTAGTAAAGTCCTCTGTACAAAATTGTGTGTATCCATTAATATTTGTGAAAAAAAATATTGTGAATAGCAGCAACATAATTCTAAAAATAAAAACAATAATTTAATAATTATAATTTATAATTATTAAAAAAAAATCTTTTAGGGTGGGAGTTTATTATGTTTTAAGAGCTATCTCCAAAAATCAGCACAAGAATTTTGAAACTTACAAAAATTCCAGAATTCGATTTCTTTTAATTTTCTGCTCTCTACGCAAAACTTTTGTACCCACACGGAAAACGAATAAGTTTCTTAAAGATTTGCCCAAAAAATGACAATTTAAAGATAGCTCATAAATATCAAAGAAGTAATAATTATTATACGGGTTAATTTGATATAATAATAAATAAATGTCACATTAATTAAAACTTTTGTACAAAAAATTTACATTTACATTTCTATATTAGCATTGGATGGGACATTTAATTTTCGTCCGTGCAAGGCCCCCCAAACGCGGGGCCCGGGCTCCCCTTACCCCACCTCTGTGCGCGCCACTGTTTAATATTACTCATTAACAAAAAAAGATTTTTACCTACTTACGGATAAAAGTTTTATACCTATTTAGGATAAAATTATATTTAGTACCTAAACACAATACTGTTGTAACTATAACTAGAGATGGGAAAATTCCCATTTGACGAAAATTCCCGGAAACTTTCTATCGAAAATTCCCGAAATTTTCCGAAAGTTTAAAAAAAAAAATTTTATTGCGAAAATATATTTTTTTATGCCAGGGATTTGCAAAAATATATAACACATTAGCTTTTTGTCAAATTTTTTTAAGAAAAAAAATAAAAAAAATGTTTATAAGAATGTAACTGCAATACTATTTTTAGTATCTTTTACTTTGGAATATTCCTATTGTATACTGAAACCTACAAAATAAAAATAAAATATTTACTATTAGAAATTCACTGCTAGTAAATCCTAGATATTACGTAAAAAAAATTAAAAGGGACAAAGTAACTAATATATAGGAATATTGAAAAGTAAAAAGTAAAGTAAAAAATAATTCCAAACACTAGATTTTTTTCTTGGCATTGTGCTATGCCTATAAATAAACAACAAAAATGTAAGAATGATTTTAACTTTGTTTATTGTTTTTATTTTGTTTACCTTTTTTTTAAAAAGTTTTTTGTGATGATGAATAATCCGGCTTTATTGAGGTTATGTAACATAACTTACATTATTTATACTTCTTCTTCTGCTTTAAATTAACACACATTAAATTCTTGGCCTTGTATCATGGCCTTAACGAAAATCAGCGGTTAAACAATTGACATTTAAATGAAAAAAACAAGGAAAGTTTCCAAGGAATGTTTCCAAGGAATGTTTCCGGTAGCTTAAAAGAAACTTTCAAAATGAAAATAAATTCCCAATTGGAAACTTTCCAAAACGGAAAGTTTCCTTAAAATGGAAACTTTCCGATTCCCATCTCTAACTATAACTGACTGAGACTTTTTTAATTTTAAACATACAGGAAATGGGAGTGAAACAAGATAAGTAATATAATACAAAAACTGCCAACATTATGTGAATTATAACCATACATCTATTACTATTATAGATATATAATTATAACAGCCCTTAAATAATGGTGGCAACTTTACACTAATATCCCGAGTAAAAATTAGAACGTTAGAACAATAAAGGGCCAAGTTTAGCCTAGCTACGTAGGCAAGAAGTTAACAAAAGTTTGTAAACCTGGTTGCCTAACTAAGTTCTTTATAATGGCGCTGCCAATTTAATTTTGTAGGTAGGCAACCGGGATAAATATGTATGTTGGATTGCCTACCTATAAAATATTGTTAGCAGCGCCATCTAGACAAATATGGATGCACAATTTTTGGTAGCGTTTAGCCTTTTTCGAATAGATGGCACTGGTAACTAGTATATGCATATACTTATACTGGTAAGTATATGAGTATATGAAAATTTTAAAATGTTTTAGACTGAAATACTTACTTTCAAAACGTATTTCTTGTAATTTTTTAAGCTCCGGCTTTTGTTTGGCAATTTTTTTTACAAATATTTTATTATACTTACCTTTTGTGCTCTTTTGGTACAATTAGTTTTTTTATGTATCTTTTTTATTTGAAAAGCTAGAAGGTCGGTTAAATTATAGATAAATTGCGTAGTGCATTGAAGAATTGAAAAAAAAATCAGCGATTCTCAAATATTTTGAAAAAACTTTAAACCTGTCAAAAGCAAAAATCGTTTTAATTTCGATATTTCTGGAAATGTTGAAAAAAGTAAGTTTCAGATGTAAACATACATTTATTTACATTTTCATCCAATTGGTGTTTTTTTTGGCCTACTAGATTTTGAGATACCACCACCACCTTTTGTTTTTTTATGGCCACCATATTGGAATTTAACATGGTTCGGAAGTTATGTAGGCCATTACAAACTTAGTTTTTTTTCAAAATTCCCAGGAATAGCGACTTTGGTTTTAAATTGTTTTTAGTTTTTTTGGAACAATTTTAACCGGTCTTTTTTATAAATTTTTAAAATTTCATTTTAACAGGTTTGTAATTAGGCAACTTTTCTCTAATTTTAGCGACCTTGTACCCTGTATGGAAAATCAAAAACATTAAAAAAACACATGGTGAAGTTTAAATATCTTTAATTATTTGTAATGCTGTAGGTTACAGCACTTCTACCAGAACAAATAGTAAATGCATTAAAATTATAGTTCAATAAATCCTCTCTTCGAGTGGAAGAGAGTAATGGAGCATTTTGCCATCCCTTTTATTAGGTATTTTATTCCAACTAATAACAATTACTGGTTGCCCGCTCGAACCACTCGCCACCTGGCGAAAACTCAAAAGTTCCAAAAAAATGGCGAGTGCCTCGTCGGAGCGAAAGTCACACATTGCAGTCACAGCTCCTACTTATTAATAATTCTTTTATGTCTTTGTTAACTGATTAACTGATAGAATGTGTCCAACGCACACTCTGTTAGAATAGGCACGAATTTCTAACCGTATCACAGGGAAACTTATAAATAATAGTATTCTACTAAATTATCATCGTATCAATAAAAATAAAAACAACGCGCGTTGCAGATGGAGGGAAACCTCGATAAATATTTCATAAAAACCTGAAGTTAGAAATGTACAAGAGGCACAAAACATGTGCCCACTCTAACAATCGCAAGCCGGGGGGGGTCACTGTCGAATGACGCAAGTGGCGCCCCCTTCTCGGCTTTATCTTATTTAAATTAAAAAAAAAAAATGAAACAAACACCTACAATTGGTTGTATTGTTCATACGCTAAGATTTATCCATGGAGTCGGTTCGACTGCTCGAAATAATCATTTGTTTATGAGGTGCCGTTTTATTTTTTTTTCAGGAATTATTCTTATGTATGTATTTTTTTTCAATTAGATAAAAAATATCACATAAGGATTTTTTTCTGCGAATTAATAATATCATAGTAGACTTATATTTTTAATTTAGTAAATTTAAAATATCCTTTTTAGTTTAACACATATTTTTAATTCGCCAAATTAAAAATATCATAGGAGATATTTTTAATTGAATGTGAAATTTTTAGTTCAGATTGAAAGTTTGGACACCCCTGGTATTCCAAACTAATTCAGATTTTTTTAAATTTTATTACTTTTTTTGTATTTTATACAAAAAATATAAACGCTTAAACTTTTCATGTAAAACAACCTTATTTTATATATGCTTGATAAAAATATGTATTCTTTTAAAGATTAAAACAATAGGCCGTATTTATAAAAGAAAGGATGAAGAAAATCCTACAGCTTTTATATACACATAATCATTAATATAAGCTGAAGGATTAATATTTTTTAAGTCCTTTTTTATCAAAATGGCAAATTGTTTTATATCTTTAATTTACATTTATTTATGTATTAAAACACGTTGTTTTTTATAAGTTTACTAATAAATACTGTTAATAAATTTCTAAAATGGAATTTCTGAACATTTGTTTGTAATAACAGGGGTGTCCAAACTCTCAATCAGCTGGAATTAAAAATATCTCCTATGATATATTTAATTTTTTTTAAATGTCTCCCATGATATTTTTAATTTAGCGAATTAAAAATATGTGTTTAGCAAAAAAAATACGAATTTTTTTGTTAAATACATTTTTAATTCGCTTAATTAAAAATTAGATTTAATTTTTGTGCCAAACTGATATTTTTATTTAGTGAATTTAAAATATCTGTAAATTAAAAATGTTTTTAACAAAAAAATACAAATATAAAAAACAAATATTTTAAATTAACCAAATAAAAATATCAGTTTGGCATAAAAATGAAATCGAATTTTTAACAAAATCTGTTTCTTATAGTTGTATTTTTTGTTAAACACATTTTTAATTCGCTTAATTAAAAATTAGATTTAATTTTTATGTAAAACTGATATTTTTTATTTAGTTAATTTAAATAATATTTATATTTTAAATTCACTAAATTAAAAATGTGTTTAAAATACAAATATAACAAATAAATATTTGAAATTCACTAAATAAAAATATCAGTTTGGCATAAAAATGAAATCCAATTTTTAATTCGCTTAATTAAAAATTGGATTTAATTTTTATGCCAAACTGACATTTTTATTTAGCGAATTTAAAACATCTGCTATGATATTATAAATTCGCAGAACAAAATTCCCAAAGTGATATTGAAAATATCACACACAAAAATGATTTCCGAATGGAAAATAAAACGGCGCCCCACGTTTGTGCCACGCAGTAACACGAAACATTTTTTCTGTCGTACTTGGGTACGTCAGTGCGGTGCACCGCACTTTAAAATCTATAATCGCCCTAATTAAATAGAAAAACGATTACGCCGTTTAATAATAATTATTATTATTTAGATCATCGGTAAATATCACAGTCGCGTTATTCAGAATACTCTTAGCGCCCTAAAATAGCTGTAACTGCAACGCTACAAAGAGCCCTGCGCTTATGGAGGCGCCGCCCCGCCGCCAAAAAATTTCGGCGGCGTCAGTGGCGGCTCGGCTGACTAGAGAACGTAGTCTTAGTCGAGAGTGGTCGTTTTGTTTGAGGTTAAGGAAAACGTTAAGACAAAACGTTAATTATTATTTTTTGGCTCGTCAAAATACTTGCGGTTCGTTCAGCTTTGCTCGAACGAATTTTTGCTATCGTGTTCGCGTGTGGGATAGCAAAATCAAATCAAATTAAATTAAATTAATTAAAAAATTACCCAATTTTAATCCATACCATCATCGTTTGGAATGATAGCAATCAACGAAAAAACATCATTGGTAATGTGAACTTTTTTCTTTTTATTTATTTACGTAGTTTCTTATCTATCATAGTAACTATATGTAAATGACCTACTTTTTTTTTAAATGGTTTATTATAGAAGTGTTTTATTATTCGTTACGATGAAAAAAAACCTAAAATAACGAAAACTCATATTCACTACCACTCGGTAGCGGAATAATAATAATAATGATAATAATATAAAATCACGCTGCAGCACTTCGTCGCAGAAGTAGTAATAGCAATAATAATAATAAATAAAAGATAATATAATATACAATATTTATGTATGTATGTGTGAAGAGCAGGGATTAAAAACACCGCAGTTTTTTGTTGGATGTAATGCCCTGAAAACATTTGGTACAAACGAGAAATTGCTGCACACGGGGGGGGGGGTCGTTGTAAGGGGGTCGAAAGAGAAGAGAAAGTGTTGTTGAGGGGCGGGGGGGCAGTGGGCGGGGGGTCCGGTGGTCTCCTAATTTTCCCACCAGTCGTCGCGACTGTTGCTGCTCGAGTTGTAGTTTCCGCCCCCGCCGGCGTAGCTGCCGCCCCTATCCATGCCGCCTCCGCCGTAATGGCCACCTGAGACAACAGAGGTACACCTTAGATTTTCATCCGACCAAATTTTTTTTATTAATTGATAACTAAGGATTTTTTTAGGGCCACAAAAATCAATTTTTTTAAATTTTTATTCAAAAATTTTAAATTTTAAATAATTTTTTTAACGAAAATTATTTCAAACATAACATTTTAAATAAATTTAAAAAAAATCCATCAATTTTGCCATTTTAAATTATATTTAATTAAAAAAAAAAATAGAATTTACAAATAGTTAGAATGGAAATTATTTTTTTAAGGTTTTCAACTGTTTGTTGACAGGAGTTTGTTATCTGTCATGTCATCAACCAATATTTTGACAGGTGTCAAGTTGACAGATGATTTTTGTTCCTCTTTTTCATTCTTTCCAATTAAGAAATTTTTTAATTACAAATAATCCAACAATTTTGCAATTTTAAATTAAGTTTAATTTTTTCAAAAAAAAAACATTTAAAAAAATGGAATGGAAATGATTTTTTTCGAGGTTTTCAACTGTTTGATGACAGTAGTGTGTTATCTGTCATGTCATCAAGCAATATTTTGACAGGTGACAAGTTGACAGATGACAGATACAAGATGACAAATGTTATATTTAAAATAATTTGTTTAAAACAGACTTAAAAAAATATTTCAAATAACTTTTTTTGGTTGCTCCATTCTTTCCAATGAAACAATTTTAAATTATTTTTTAATTAAAAAAAAAGCATTTAAACAATTTAGAATGAAAATTTTTTTTCGAGATTTTCAACTGTTTGATGAGCTAAAGCACAGGAGTGTGTCATGTTATCGAGCAATATTTTGACAGCTGTCAAGTTGACAGATGACATAATAAAAATAACTCTTTAACAAACTTATATTTAAAAAAAAAAAATACAACAATTTTGCAATTTTAAATAATTTTAAAATTAAAAACAAAAATTAGAATGGAAATTAATTTTTTCGAGGTTTTCGATGTCACTATTATTAAACAGCAGAATAAATCCCTAAATCGGAATATAAATTAAGAAAAAAATAGTATTAAGAACTCATCTTAATATTTTTACTTGCACTATTCCATAAGAAAGTTAAGACTTATTGGTTATGGATGTATGTAAAAAATAATTAATTTTTGTAATTTATTGTTTACAATTGTCAACATAACCAATAAAACCTTCGACTTGGGGAACTATTTTCATACAATTAAAAATAGCTTTTTTTCGAAAAATTACAATAAAAATTGTAATTTTAGCATAGTTAGGTTATAATCAAAGATTTGCGCTATTTCCAAAAGGAAAATACAATTTTTTCAAATATATGGAAATATTGTAAAAATTAAACTGTATAAATAGCTTATTAATAAATAAAAATAAAGGAAAACTCACCTCCGTTGCCGTAGCCGTTGTTGCCGTAGCCTCCTCCGCCGCCGCTGGGTCGGCTGCTCCTCTGCATGCCGCCGCCGCCGCCCGACTGCTGACGGTAATCGCGACTGCCGAAGGAGCTGCCGCCGCCGCCGCCGCCGCCGAAGCGACCCTTGCCGCCGCGGCGCCCGGCCGAAGGCATGCGCCCGTCCGAGGCCACCCCCTCCAGCCAGTTGGGGCACTCCTGCTTGGCCTCGATCAAGAGGTCCAGCATCCCAGAGGCCAGGTTGCGGTTGCGGTCGTTGAAGAACGACGTGGCCAGACCCAAGTTACCCATACGGCCTGACGAAACGCAAGTTAAATTAAAATACATTTTTTTTTTTTTGCAATGACTTTATTATTTGTTTGTTTATTTCAAAACAAACAATACGTTAACTCTTAGTGAAAAATCTCATTTTTTCCCTGACACTCGATTTCCCGTGAATTAAAATTTTGTTAGAGCATCTCAATTTTCCATTCACAAAAAAATTCGAAATACTTTTAATTATTTTTTTGCGTAATCATAAGTCTATTAAAAACTTATAAAATGGAAAAAATCCTGCGCTTCACAAAATATTTGAAAAAAAAGTAATCTAAATTTTCATCCAATTTCTTTTCTACTACATTTTGTTTTTAAAATAGCCGCCGTAACTAATATTACTTGATACATCGTTGGATTTCGTGATTTTTTTCTATCTAACCACGTAAAATTTCAATATGGCGCCCAAAGAAAAAACAAAATAATCACAAATCGATTAAATGTAGATGTTTACATGTAAAACTTGTTTTATATAATGCCATTTTAATGTACTTAATGTAATTTAACCGACTTTGTAGCTTTTCAAATAAAAGAGATTCCATAAATAAAAGGATACTTGGTGCCCCTTGTATATTGATATTTTCTTTAAGAAAGTTGACTATCAAATAAGATTTATGTAAAATAAAATGGTTGTACCAAATTTTAAGCCGCGTTTGAAAAAGAGAACAAAAAATTATTTTAAATTTCATTCTTTAAAAAAAAATTTGGCTTGATTTCAATCCCCCAGAATATGCGACTCATCATTTTTATTCTCTATGGTTAAATGACAAATGAATGACTGACCGAAAATTTTTATCAAACATTTTTCAGACCAAAATTTTGAGAAGAATTAAAATTGCAAATTAATTATTTTTTGAGAAATGTGGCAAACAATTTTTTCCCTTTCCGTGGCAATACTGTATAACGATAGTTTTTTTTTGTAGATTTATGTAGAAATTTATAAAAATACTTTGAATTTTGAAAAATTGCCATTAAAAAATGTTTCCAGGTATTCCACAATTGTTTATTACAAGCGACGTATTTAGTTCCTTTCTTTGTAACTACGAAAAAACTCAAAATATCGTCAAGACTTAAACAATTCAAAAAACTATAATTTGCATAGAATCATGTAAAATAAAAACGATTTCAGCTGAATCAAAAATGATTAAAAAACGTAAACGTACCTGTACGCCCTATGCGGTGCACGTACTCCTCGATGTCGGACGGCAGGTCGAAGTTGATGACGTGCTTGACGTGCGGGATGTCCAGCCCCCTGGCCGCCACCGCGGTGGCCACCAGGATGGGCGTGTTCCCCGAACGGAACTGCCTCAGCGCGTCCTCCCTCTCCCGCTGCGTGCGGTCCCCGTGTATAGACGTCACCGGGTACCCCTCGTTGTGCAGGAACTCCTCCAACGAATCCGCCCCCTTCTTCGTCTCCACGAACACCAGCGTCAGGTTCTCCGCCACCGGCACGTTCAGCTCAGCGACGTTCAGCAAGTCCAGCAAGAAGGAACGTTTATCGTGTTCCTCCACCCAAACAACTTTTTGGGTGATGTTCTCAGAGGTGGAACCCACCCTACCCACGGCCAAGAAGATGTAGTTGTCGAGGAAGTCCCTGGCCAGCATTTGTATGGGCGAGGGGAAAGTGGCGGAGAACATTAAAGTCTGTCTGTCCCCGGTGCGCGGCATCGATTCTTTCTCAACGATTCTCCGTATTTGCACCTCGAAACCCATATCCAACATTCTATCCGCCTCATCCAGCACCAAGTACTGGCAATAATCCAAACCAATACGCCCGCGGTCTATCATATCTAATAAACGACCAGGCGTGGCCACCAACAAATGGCAACCTCTATCCAAGTCTCGCATCTGTTCAGCGATGTGGGCGCCCCCGTAGACCACACAGGGTCGCACCCGGCTTCTATAAGCAAACTTTTTGCTTTCGTCGTAGATTTGCGTGGCCAGTTCCCTGGTTGGCGCCAGCACCAACCCTAGTGGGTACTGCTTGCGGCGGCTGCGCGAGTGCGCCGCTATCTGCGGCGGGCCTCGCTCGTACATCTGGTTCAAGATGGGCACCAGGAAGGCGGCCGTTTTGCCGGACCCGGTCTGCGCGCACGCCATCACGTCTCTGCGCATTCAGAAAACACGTTTTACACATCTTATTTTAATTTTCATAATTTATGCAAAAACATTTGCATTTATTAAGAATAATTGAATCGGTGAGATTAAGAACACTACAATTTTTTTTATTTTGACAGGTCATTTTTTAAAATCAATTTAAAAGTTTAAAATTCATTTTTGTGAAAATATATAAATTATTATACAAAATTTCACTATTAAATTTAATAAAATAGTTAAAATATTTTAACAAAAATGCATTTGGAACTTTAAAACTGATTTTATGAAATATTTTGTTAAAATTTTAACGTTTAGACCAGCATGGTTCTTATTCCAACAGATTTAATTTTATCTTCTCAAAAAAAATTGCATTCTGTGATTTAAACCAATAGGGTTTTAAATTGAAAGAAGGCGACTATAATAACATTTAAAATTGGTAAAAAGTGAGGTTAATTATTTGACAGATGTCAGATTTTATTTTTATATTTTTGAAAATCATTTAATTATCTACTTATAGAGTAGATAAAGTATACTATTTACACTGGAGATTATGCGCATTATTCACTTGTCTGGCAATTTGAGACGCAAACTTCATCCTCGTGATTAATAGCCTGCATTATCTCTTGTATAATAATGTACTATTGTATTCCCACCTTCGGTCATCTATGCCTTTAAATGCACATTGGCAAGCTACAGTTTGTTTTTTTTATTCGAATATTGACATTTTTCATTATGATGCCACTATAGTTTTAAAATTTCGTGAAAAATTTAGCCGGCGGAAAAAAACTCGTTTTTTTCCAGAAAAAACAAAAAAATTGTAAAATTTTCAGATATATTGACTTTTGCATTTTATTCAAAGGGTAAAAGTCAATTTTTTAAAAAATTTACAAATTTTTCCGAATAATATTCGTACACCGATATCGAGAAAAATTTAATTTAATTCAATGTTTAGTTTTATTTTTTTATTAAAAAGGATATCTATTTTTTAAAAATTAAAATAATGTTAAGTTGTTGATTGCTACTTTTTTTCAAATGTGTATATTTAAAAAAAAACAATTTGTCCCAAAAAAAGCCAAGACCTGAGAAAAAAATCCAAGTTTTCCTCAGAGTATTTACAATTTATTATTATTTATTTATTGACTTTTATTTAACCATATTTCTAATTTAACAATGACATTAAAAATAAGTGGGGCCGAAACGCTAAACGCTATTTTTAAAATATTATTAGTTAGCATTAATTTATTACATTTTGTAACATTAATTGACTGCAGCTGACCCAGACTTATCATAACTGTTGTAATACACTATTACCATAATAAACAAACTTTATATTAATCAATTGTCATACTTGTTTTAATTTAAATACAATAGTAAATAAAATAGGTCACAGAAATATACCTTACTTTACTTTAGCGTCTTGCTGCTACCGCTAGCGTCAGTTTCCAATTATTATCTTTGGCTACTGTCAATGTCAATGTACTTTGGTATTTTAATATTTAAGTTGGTACTTGTGTTCAAGGCATTAATTTTAAATATTTTGACGTTTATCATTTAATTGTCAGAATTATAATAAATATTATATTTGTAATTTTAAAAATTTACAAATATAATATTATTCATAACCTCATATAATTGTAACATAACCACAATTATATTCTCCACTAAATTATTTTGTTTTATTCAATGAAGCCAATTTAGGGTCCCTAGAATTTAACAACTAAATCCCCAAATTTTTGACATTTCAAATTCTGAATAAAAAAAACAAACTGTATCACTTAAGGGCGTTTTAAGTCGCGGAAGATGTCAAATGTCAAAATAAAATGACGGTTGTCAAATTTTTGCGTTGGTCGTAGAAAAATAAAAATAAAAAAGGTGCAATTACCTGCGGCCCACGATTATGGGAATGGCGTACTTCTGCACCGGCGTCGGGGTGTCGTAGCGAGCCGACGCGATGTTGTTCTTGATGATCTCCGTCAGCTGTACCTCCTCGAAAGATGTAATGTGAGCGGGGACCTTCTCCCCGGTCGCCTCGACAGGAATATCCTCGTACTTGCTGAAGTTGATTCCGGTGTTGCCGGTGCCGAACAGTTCGGCCTCGACGCGCTCGTCCCTCGGCAGCGGTATCGTCCAGTCGGCGGACTCGTTGTTCCGGCGGTTGTTGCCGCCGCCGCCGCCTCCGCCGCCTCTCTCGCCGCCCTCGCTCCAGCGACCGCCGCCGCCTCCTCCGCCGGAGCCCTCGTTCCAGCGATCGCCGCCGCGCGGTTTCTCCGGCTCCTGCCACCGGTCGTTACGGTGCAGGTCACGGTCCCGCTCCTGGTAGCGACCGCCGTCGCGATCTCGCCCGCCGCCGCCGCCGCCACCGCCGCTGCTTCTGTTGTTCCAGTCGCCGTCCCTTCCCTCGTAACCATCTCCAAATCAAAACGAAAAAATTGTTTTTACTTAACAAACTTTGTAACCAGATTTTGTCAAAAAAAGCGCTTGAATTTACCTTAATTGAATCGTCTAATTTAAAAAGCGGCCATCTCCTTTAAAGAATATTTTAAGTAAACGTCAAAAAAACATTCTAAACAATAATGGGTAAAAAACAAATATATTTTGAAAAACTTCTTCATATGGTAACTAAAAATATTTTTTCTACAAATTAAGTAACCAGATTTAAGTTTTAATTAAAAAAACATATATTTCAAAAGGGAAATGGGCATTTTAAGTACATTTTTGTATTTAAAACATCAATGGAGATGGCCGTTATTAAAACTAACATAAAACTTTAATGAATTATTTTCCTTGCAAATGGCCGTTTTTGTTGGGATATAATTTTGCACTATATAATATTTCGATTTTATTAGTGTAAATAACTCATTTAAAAAAAAAATTGGAGATGGCCGCTTTTGAAATTAGACGATTCAATTATAAAAATGACACAATCAACAATAATCAAATAACGTCAAACTGACCATTTGCTTTATATCATTGTGTCATTTTTGTAATTAAGGTAAATTTAAACGCTTTTTTTGACAGAATCTGGTCAACATATAACAAAAATTACACAAGTACCTATATAAAAAAATAAAATCCTTATTTATATAAACTTCGGCAATTTTCAAAGGTAAAGTGACCAGATTCTGTCAAAAAATAGGGGGACATTTACAAAAATTACACAATCAACAATAATTAAGTAACGTCAAATTTACAATTTGCATTGTATCATTGTGTCAATTTTGTAACTAAGCTAAATTCATACAAAATGTCCCCCTATTTTTTGACAGAATCTGGTCACTTTATGTTAAGGCCCCCACAGATTCGGAACGTCATGTCAAAAACAACAAAAACTGATGTGTGGGGTTTTTAAACAGTAGCGCAGTCGCAAAAGTCAATTTTTGATAGATTTTATTAAAACTTACGGACAATTTCCTTTCCGAGCCCGGTATGAAAACATTTAATAATAAAAATTGATCTTCGTGAATTTTTATGTTCGTTTTAAACGCAATTCTAACCCATGCTTTCTCTCCATGACAGCACGCATAAGGTTTTAAAATTTCCAAAATAAAAAACGAAAAAATTGGGAATGGTTCATTTTGTTAAAAGAATGCAAAAATCAATTTGTCTAAAAATCTGATATCGAGAAAAAAGTGAATTCCGACGCTGAATATAATCATAATATTATGGTTAAAAAAACATATTCAGTGCTGTATTAACATAACTTTTATTTGACACTTTGATTTATAAAATTATAATTTTGTAATTAAACTTTATAAATCATTCATTAGTTTGTAATTGTATATTTTTAATGGACTCCTTTTTGCAAAAAGACCCAACCGACAATATATTTAACAAATACGTTTATTTTCATAAATCAATTTAATTTAATTATTTTATTTTTCTGTAAAAATAATGTCAAGTTGATGATTGCCACTTTTTCAAACGTGTATATTTTTACAAGGCCTGAAAAACACGTTTTTCCCATTTTTTCGTTTTTTTTTCGACACAAACGGAAAAATTGGAAAATTTTCAGAAAAATGTACTTTTCCTTTTTTTTCATTTTATTCAAAGGGTAATACGAAAAAAGGCAAAGTAAATTTTTCTGAAAATTTCCGACGCTTATTATAATTATAAATCTTATGATTATAAAAATTCCTTTTTTTTGACACTTCAATTTATAAAATTATAATTTTGTAATTAAACTTTATAAATCATTTATTATTTTGTAATTTGATATTTTTGCAAAAAATAGCCAACCCAAAGTAAATTTAACATTTACGTTTTTTTTTAATTTAATTTAATTGTAGAGTTATATTTTCTTTTCTCTAATAAAGGATTTTTTTATAATTAAAATAATATAACTTAATCAATGTTACTTTGTTCAAATGTGTATATTTTCCAAAAAAAGACATGTTTTTCACCAATTTTTCCGTTTTTTTTTCGACACTTTAAAACCCTAGAGTAGATATAATCGTAACTACAAACGCGCGATTGATTTAAGTGTAGTTTTTTAACACAAAAAAGTATAAAGATGAAACGTTATACATAGGTATATTGAAAATTACATCAAAATTTAACAAAAATTGTCATATAACTAATAGAACTTTAAATATCGAAAATTGTAGAATTTTGGCTAAAAACGATTATTTTGTTAAAAACCTTAATTTTAAGGGAATATTTTTTGGATAGCACCACGAAAAAACGGTTTTTACAGCATGCCTAAAAAAGTGGCTGCAGCAAAGAGAAAATTTTATTTGTTCAACCTGGTGTGTAGACAACAAAATATCTAGAAACAAATGAAAAGGGTACCTACCTCTGTTGCGTGTGTTGAAACTGCTAAAGTCTCCTCCGCGGTTGTCTCTGCCGCCGCCGCCTGAGCCGCCTCTGTAACCGCCGCTGCGGCTTCCACCGCCTCCTCCTCTTGTGTCTCTGGAATCGTAGCCGCCCGACGATTCGGAATTACCGCCGCCGCCGCCACCGGACTTGTTGCGAAGGTGCGGGGGCACGTAACGGTTGCTTTGCCCGCTACCTTGCAAGTCCAGACCAGCAAACTAAAAGTAAACAACACACTAATTACACCAATGCCTGTATCAAGTTGTTTTTTATATAAAATCCATTCTCTATTACCTTTAATTATCCCTTTAACAATGTCAATGTTTAATAAATGTAGTTATAACAATATGTAAAGAGTTAAGAAGAAAAAGTGACTAGAAAACAAAGAAAAAGTTAACAGTCCTGTTTTGCATGGTTTTAAGTTAAATATCGTAGTCATTTGTTAAAACTTTTAACAGCACAATTAAATTTATAATCTCAAAAAGTTTTGACCTAATGACTTTATCAGACAGCTAAGTATATTAATATACTTCTAAATATAATACAAAAATCCACCCACACATAATATTTTATGATAATGATTTCCTGTTGAATTTTTTAATCCAAACAAATAAATACAAATACCTATTTACTTACTTATAATTAAAAAAACGATTCTTAAATAATGATTTATAACAATGTTTTTAATATTAAAGGTCACAACGCAAATCTCTTATCTACAAATACACAATGTATTTTAATTTCCAATGCTTTTTAGGTTATAAAGCCGTCACATGAATTTTATTGTATTGTATTCCAACAGAAACATTGAGTTGGCATAATAATTTATGTAACTAAATACCTTCTTTTCACCGTCTATAAAAATAGATCCTAAAAGAAATCACCTACAAATTATTTTAGGACATAATTTCCATTTGGCATATTTATTAAACATCCCCTTATGAGTTAACATGGGAAATTGCTGAAGAAGCAACAAACGGTTCTTTGTTGGATTTATCAGCGAAAAATCTAATGGCATCCTACTTTGCACAAATACCGATGATGATTCCGAATGGTAATTATGTCGGCTCGGTATTTGATAAAAGCGATAGATGGTTTATAGGGTAATTAATGTAATAAATAGAGAATATTTTGTGGGTAAGAGTAGTGAATCGATCGATAGTGGAAGTAAGTGCGACCTCCATTGTGGAAAGGCTTCCGGGTCAGCGAAACGTGGTGAAAAGATGGAGAGAAAAATACCAAGTAGAAGCAGAGTAGAAACAAGAGACTCACCTGCTGCTCTAGACCTGATCCATTTTGATTGGGTGCATTACTCATATTACTTCAAATCAGTACGTGAATTGGAGGATTTTATTATAGACCTCCTAATAATAAAATTGTATTGTATGAAAAGCGTCTTTGGCAGGAGCACAAAAAGGCGTTCGTACATGTACGCGACACCGCACGATAATAAATGTCACGTAGAGCGCACGCGCAAACTATCCCCACCACACTCCACTTTCCACTATTTCAAATGCGTACGCCGAAATTGTCCTTTTTTTCGTTCGAAAATGCTGCTGGGTGTTCACGATCGCGAAAATTTATGATACGAATTTAAACTTTACGAAGAAAATTATGGCACCATGAAAATATGACACGATACTTTCCCATTATTAGACAATGCCGGCGATTTTCGCAACTACGCCATCTGTCAATCGTTTTGACAACGTCGACAAAACAGAACCCTGCAATTGCAATTACGAGGGGAAGTGAAATCATCTAGGGGGCGTTTTTTATATTTTCCATCATATACTTACTTGTGTGGTAAGTATATGTTTTCCATGCAATAGGAAACGATTAACAAATCACTGCACACTGGATTGCAACAAAAAAACGGTGTTTTAATTGGTTAATAGACCTTGAGGGGAAAAGCGACAAATTTATTTTTTCCATTTACCAAAAAATAAATTTCTTACCCCAGCCTTCTATAAAAATCATGTTCTCTGGAATTTTGAGGGTAAAAGTAAAACAAATAAAATAGGTACAAAATTGTTTTCAGTTCTTCAATATATTTCAAGTGAAGTATAAGTCAATAACAATATAAAAATAGTCCAGTCAAAATACATTGAAACATTGAACTTAATGTTTATTATTATTTTTATTCTAATCTTCTTTCTTTGTCTCAACCTTTCCACCACGAATACGACCGGTTCTGCGGGCAGCGATGAGACCGACTTTACGACCAGCGCTGGTTCCCCTCTTGACCGTCGAAGCCTTACCAATATGTTGATGGTTACCACCTCCGTGAGGATGCTCAACGGGGTTCATGCACACACCTCTCACCTTAGGCCAGCAGTTACGCTTAACCTTGTATTTGTGGTAGGCACGACCAGCCTTTAAGATTGGCTTGTCAATACGACCACCACCAGCTACAATACCTACAAAATTTACGTGATCATGTTTTTGTCCCTTGTTTACAGGGATTTTTGTTAATTTTTTTAAATTTAATCAGAAAGAGCCTCTAGTAAATATTTCCTCAAGGTTTTATTTGTATGTAGGTTTAGGAAAAAAACTAGAAATCATCACTTTATAGGCAACAAGAGTTGCCATAGAAACAAAACAAATACTTCTGTCAAAAAATACTTGACAGTACTTTAACAAGTAAATAACCCTACTTTTGTGACATTTTTTGGTATTAAAGATTTCATAGTAATATTATAAAATCACAAATAATTTAAAAAATCCTTAAATTACCACATTTTTTTTCATAAAAACAAAACAACTTTGCAAAGTGTAGTTTATTATGCTTTTTTTTGTTACTTACCAACCATGGCTCTGTTGTTGGAGGGAATGACTTTTTTTGCTCCAGATGGCAACTTAACCCTAGTTTTTTTTGTGTCGTGGTTGTGGGCAATTACGGTGGCATAGTTACCAGATGCACGGGCCAAACGACCACGGTCACCAGTTTTCTCTTCCAAGTTGCACACAATGGTACCTTCAGGCATGGCTCCAATTGGCAAAACGTTACCTTAAAAAAAGAATATTGCGTGTCGATTTGTGGTGTATTTGTAGTTGTAATGTTATTGTTTTGTGAGATATCAGAAAGAGCCTCTAGTAAATATATCCTCAAGGTTTTTTATGTAGGTTGTAGGTTTAGGATAAAAACTAGAAATCATCATGAAAATCACGCTAAAAAGAGCATAGGTGTCATTTGGGGTACCGTACCGATTTGCAAGTTGGCTTTCTTTCCACAGTAAACAAACTGTCCGGTGTACATGCCTTCTGGGGCAATGAAAAGCTCCTTCCTGGTCTGGAACTTGTAGGGGTCCCTGAAGTTGACCATGGCCAAGGGGGCGCCGCGACCGGGGTCGTGGATGATCTCCTTTACCACCCCCTTGATGTATCCATGACGTTCGCTGAAATCCAAGTAGCGGAGCTTGGGGGCTCCCTTCCTTTTTTTCGTGTGGGATTTGAAGACGGATCCCGCACCCTTACGTTGCGCACGAATTACACGTCCCATGGTTTTCGGACTGCAACAGAAAAGACTGTCAGTCGAACCTAACCTCAATTACTCACTGTCAATATTTTCCCAAATTTTCGAAATAAATCGCAAAAATATCTACTGATTCTACAAAATTAACACTCTAGAATATCCACCTTACACTTATTTATCACAGATGATTATTATTTAACACGATATTTTAAGATTCTTGTAAAAACTAAATACAAACCTACCGTGCTCAAAACACTCAAAATGAAAGAAGTGAAAAAGAAAAATTCCCTAGGAAATCACTTTCCGATTGCCAACTTAAAAAAAAACTGTTGCCAACCGATTATTTATAGGTTAGAAATGTCAAATTATTTCCCGCCGTTTTATACACCTTGCTATTTTATTTGTATTCTTAAAAAAACGTTTTAAATGGCAGATTCACGTAAGTAAACAATCGTAAATACTGTTCAACAACAAATACATGTGAAATTGTAGCCGAACAAGTGCCGAAAAGGCAAAAACGAGAGTCATCATACAAATCAAAAGCTTTTGAGAGGTTCAAGCAGCTTAAAAGTGGTAATAGAAACAAATATGAAGTGGAAGATGTGGAAAACATTTACGATACCGTGGATGAGAAAGAGTACACCAAACAAGTTTTGTCCAGACAAGACGATGATTGGATTGTTGATGATGGTAAATATACAGCTATTTATACAATATAAAGTTATAATTTTGATTATTTTAGATGGGAGTGGTTATGTGGAGGATGGCAGAGAAATTTTTGATGACGATTTGGATTCTCAATCCATTCAACAAGCCTCAAAAGGTAAGGGTACAAAACGCAAGAAAAAGGCTGTTGCTGAGAATGCCGGCAGAGGAAATATACACATGATGTTGTCGAATATCAAGCCCAAAAAGAAAGAGGTAAGTCTATGATAAAATTTTAATACATAATCATCATAATATTGTCTTAATATTAAGGAAGTTAAAATTGATGAGGATGATATGTTATCTGAACTACTGGGTGAAATAGATGAATCCACTCCATCTACAAGTACAATAAAACCAAAACCAATGTCGCAAAGTTTTAATCTGTCCTCCAAAAAACAAGCAGCCAATGATTACATGAAAACATTTTCTTCCTTTAAACCGCCATCAATTAATACAAAAATCACCAAAACCAACAAAGTTGAAAGTAAATTTGTTCTGCAAGAAAAATTGGAGGCCAATAACACAGTTACTGTATTAAAAGAGGAGATAGTTAGTCCTAAGATTAATAAAGACACCAAAAAATTAAATGAGACTGAGTTAACAGACATAACAATGGAGGAGTTTTCAATGGATGATTTTGATGATGATATGGGAGTGTCAGAAATTGATGAAATCAAGCAGGAAAATGTAACAATAACCGAAGAAATTAATGAGGAATCTTTGCTAATGAATCAGCAGGAGTTCATGAATGAGTGGGTGACTTCTCAGGAAACTGCCACCAATTTGATAGAAGAAAAAGTTGATTTGAGTACTGCAGATATTCCATTGATTGATGTGGATGGTCAAAAGGTGTTCAGATTCTACTGGTGGGATGCATTTGAAGACCCAAACAGAATGAAAGGCACTGTCTACTTGTTTGGTAAGACTTTCAGTGAAAAAGCCAAAAAATATGTGAGCTGCTGTGTGGCTGTAAGAGATATACAGCGGCGGATTTTCGTTTTGCCTACAGTGCATGTAAGTTGATTTTCCTGATTGTTTTAACAAAATTATTTTTTTGCTTGTTTTTATTAGGATAATGATGGGAACGCGAAAATAAATACCTACAATGAGTTTAATGATAGTGTAATGAAGCATTTGCAAGTGTCCAACTTCAGAAGCAGATTTGTGACCAAAAGATACCCTTTCAATCCTGAGATACCTTTGGAATCTGAATACATGGAAGTCAGATATGCTGTAAGTTTTTTTTGCTTATTAAAGTTTTATTTTTCAAAATTTACAGGATTTACCTATCATTAGAAGTATTTATTGAATTAACTTTAAATTTCACTGAATATGTTTGAATTCCTTATCCTTATTTAATGTACAAGTTTGTTTTTTCCATTTTTTTTACCTGTTTTTGTACTTCTTTTGACTTTTGTTCTTGATTGACAAGATTTTTTATACTTTTTATCGACTTTTTTTACCTTTTTAATTTTTTAATTTAATTGTTTTTTTTTAACCGAACGCCGTGATTTTTTATATTGAGACAGTTTAAGGGCCTTGTTTTACTTTTTAATCTTTGTTATTTTTATATTTTTTTGTTTTCTTACTTATCAACGTGATTTTTTGCATTGAGATAGTTTATGGGCCTTTTTTTACTTTTTTATTTATTTTTACTTACCTGGATTTCTTTTATTTTCTTTTCTATTTTGTTTCTTTTTTAATTTTCTTTTATTTTTTGCCTTTTACTTTTGTTTTATTTTAAGTTTTATATAACTTATCGACGTGATTTTTTGCATTGAGATTGAGATTATGGGCGTTTTTTTACTTTTTTGGATTTATTTTACTTTTTTAATTTCTTTGTCTTTTTTTGCCTTTTTTTTGCCAATTTTTTTACTTTTTTGTGATTTTTTGCATTGAAATGATTTATGTGCCTTTTTTACTGGTTTGATTTCTTTTACTTTTTTGCCCTTTTTTACTGGTTTTTATATTTTTGTTGTTTTTTTAAACTGATCGAAGTGATTTTTTGCATTGAGATAAGGTATGGGCATTTTTTGACTTTTTCTTTATTTTTAACTTTTTTGCTTTTTTTACTGTTTTTTACGTTTTTTGTTTTTTTTAATTGATCGACGTGAATTCTGAAATAGTTTATGGGCCTTTTTTGAATTTTTGTAATTAAAAAAAATGATTTTACTATTTACTATTTTGTTTTTTTTATTTTTTTATTTCATTTTCTTTTTTTGCCTTTTACTACTAGAAAGTTTATGGGCCTTTTTTAGCTTTTATTTTTTTTACTGTTTTGATTTTTTTGACTTTTTATGTCCTTTTATACTGGTTTTCTGAGTTTTTTTTTAACTTATCTATGTGATTTTTGCCTTGAGATGGTTTATGGGCATTTTTTGACTTTTTCTTTTTACTGTTTTTCGTGATTTAAAAAAATTATTTCTTTGTCTTTTATTTGTTTTTTTTTAATTGATTGCGAATTTTTGCATTAAGATAGTGTATGGACCTTTTTTTACTTTTTGATTGTTTTCATTTCTTTTATTTTGTTGTCCATTTTTTTATTTTGTTTGTTTTTTTAACTGATCGACGTGATTTTTTGCATTGAGATAGTTTATGGGCCATTTTTGATTTTTTTTACTTTTTTTGTTGTTTTTTTAATCAATTGGCATGATTTTTTGCAAAGAGTTAATTAATGGGCTGGGTATTAACATAGGTTATTTTTTTGTTATTGTTTACTTTTTTACGTTTTCTTACCCTGAACATGCATTTTAAAACAATTTTGAAAATTGTAGTGCAAGGAAAGAGAAATATACGTGGACGACATCTACCCGAAACCGAAATACTTCTCGAAAATATTCGGCATCAACAGCAGCTACCTGGAGCTGCTGCTGTTAGACCGCAAAATCAAGGGGCCGTGCTGGCTGGACGTGAAGAACCCGCAGCCGGTCGCCAACCCCGTCAGCTGGTGTCAGTTCGAGATAAACTGCTCGAACCCGGGCGACATGGGCGCTGCGCAGAGCCCCAAACCCATTCCGCCGCCCCCTCTGGCGGTCGCCGCCGTCAACATGCGCTGCGCCATCAACCCCAAGACCCTGCAGAACGAGATCGTCATGATTTCCTGCCTCACGCACACCAGATACGCCCTGGACAAGCAGCCTCCCAAGCCGCCTTTCGAACACCATTTTTGCGGTGAGTTTGTCGTTTTTATTCTTTTGCGCCTGTGGTAATAATAATAACTTTATTTCAATAAAGAACATAAAAATTTAAACAAAACCTATAAATACCTAACATAAATCCAATTATTATGTTATATAAAAATATATCAAAATATATATAATTCAAAAAAAATATAATATTCAAAATATATAATTCAAAATATATATAATCAAAAAAAAAATCACTTTTTAATTTTTTTTTCAGCATATTAAAATTTCTCACTAATATTTAAGCAATTTTTATTAAAAATAAGAAATGTATTGTTCTGAGAATATCATAGTAGATATTTAAAAATTTCATTCAATTTTTATGCCAAACTGATATTTTTAATTTAGAGAATTTAAAATATCTGTTTCTTATATTAGTATTTTTTAGTTAAACACATATTTTTAATTCGCTTAATTAAAAATATAATAGGAGAAATTTTTAAATGCATTAAAAATATAATAGGAGATATGTAGGTATTTTTTATTCATTTTAATTTTTATTTTTTAAAATAAGCAGATATTTTTAATTGAATGCTAAGCTGGGAAAGTTACTTCTGAAAAGTATCTAGTTACTTTTCTTAGATACTTTAAACAAAATAACTTAGTTACCTTGGGTAACTAGATACTTTGAGTTGAAAGTTACAAGATACTTTAAAAAGTATCTAAGACACACCATATGAAAGTATCTAAGATACTTTTAAGTAACTAAGATACTTTTGAATAACTGAGTTACTTTTAAGTATGAATAAAAACTATAAAATTTTGAAAATTCAACAAGTTTTAGGTTTGGTAATTACTTTGTCATTCTGGAATTCCCCCAATTTTCTCTAAGAAAGTATCTAAGTTACACTGAAAAGTATCTAAGTTACTTTTAAAAAGTATCTTAGTTACTTCACTGAGTAACTTAGATACTTTTTTAGCTACAAGTTACAAGATACTTTCTAAAGTAACTAAGTTAAAGATACTTTATGTCCAATATTAAAAGTATCTAAGATAAAGTATCTTAGATACTTTAAGTATCTAAGTTACTTTTTTTTCAAGAAACTTCCAGCTCTGATTGAATGTGATATTTTTAATTTAAATTGTAAGTTTGGACACCCCTGGCATTCCAAACTAATTTTGTCGCTAGATGGCGGCACAATCACTGGGATCTACGTCGTAGGTTTTTGTAGGGTTTGGAATAACAGGGGTGTCCAAACTCTCAATCATTACAAACAAAAAACACCATGAAAACGTAAAATCTCATTGCAGTGTTGACTTGTCCGAAAAGTTCCATGATGCCTCTGGACTTTCACAAGCAACTGGGCAACTACAAGGCCACCAAGGTCCAAAAAATGGACTCGGAAAAGGCCCTATTAAACTACTTCATCAACCAATTCAGCCGCATAGACCCCGACTTGGTCGTGGGTCACGATTTGCAGGGCTACCAAATCAACGTGCTCTTCGACAGATTGAAAGCGAACGGCAACGCCGCGGCCGACAAAATCGGCAGAATGCGCCGGGCCGACAAGTTAAAAAACGAGCGGGTTTTGTTCGTGGGCAGATTAGTTTGCGACCTAAAAATATCCGCGAAAGAGTTGATCAAGTCGCGGTCGTACGACTTGGACGCCCTCTGCTCGGCGGTGCTGAAAGTTAAGGAGGGTTTAAGGGTGGAGTTGGAGCCCGAGGATGTGCCCAAGATGTACCAAACCTCGGAGAATATCCTCAAGTTGGTGTCTTTCACGATGCAGGATACTTCGTATATACTTCAAATTATATACGACTTGAACGTCATACCTCTGGCGCTTCAGATAACTAATATCGCCGGGAATGTTATGTCGAGGACTTTGATGGGGGGTAGATCGGAACGAAACGAGTTTTTACTGCTGCACGCCTTTTCGGAGAAGGATTATATCGTCCCCGATAAAGAGTACAAGAAGTTTAACAAAGAGGAAAAAAAACCACGTAAAAAACCCACCTACTCTGGCGGTTTAGTTTTGGACCCGAAAATCGGCTTCTACGACCAACTCATACTGCTAATGGACTTCAACTCGCTCTACCCGTCTATAATACAGGAGTACAACATTTGCTTCACCACCATGTCGGCGAATATGGACGAAGAAAACATGGTTCTCCCCGATAAAAACTCCCCCCCTGGCATTCTCCCCACGGAAATTCGCAAACTCGTCGAAAGCAGACGCGAGGTGAAAAAATTGATGAACAACTCCGACATCTCCAACGACTTGCGAATGACGTACAACATCCGCCAGATGGCGTTGAAACTCACCGCCAACAGCATGTACGGTTGCCTGGGTTTCTCAAACTCGCGATTCTACGCGAAAAACCTCGCAGCTCTGGTCACCCAGAAAGGCAGGGAGATTCTGACGAACACGCGCGATTTGGTGCAAAAAATGTGCTTCGAAGTCGTCTATGGTGACACCGACAGTATAATGATCAACACCAACTGCTTGGACTACGATCAGGTGATGAAGATCGGCGTGAAAATCAAGCAGGAGGTCAACAAACTCTACAAGCAAGTGGAGCTGGATATCGACGGCGTTTTCAAGTACTTACTGCTGCTCAAAAAGAAAAAATACGCCGCTGTTACCCTCTCGAAGCTAAAAAGCGGCGAACTCAAAGCGGAGAAGGAGTACAAAGGGTTGGACATCGTGCGCAGGGATTGGTCTCAGTTGGCCTGCGAGGCCGGTAAGTTTATTTTGGAGCACATCCTCAGCGACCAAAACGCCGACGATCGCATCAACAACATTCACTCGTACTTGGGGAAGATCAAGGAGGATCTGCAGGATAATAAAGTCCCCGTGCAGCTGTTGGTCATCACCAAGGCACTCACCAAAGACCCCAAGATGTACACCGACAAAAATTCCCTGCCTCACGTGCAGGTGGCGCTGAGGTACAACCAACAGCACGGCGGGCATATGCGGGCTGGCGACACCGTCCCCTATGTTGTCTGTGACGACGGTAAGTTTCAAATTGCTTTTATCGATTTTTTAGTACGTTATTGCATTTGATTAATTAGTCAATGTATTGGGGCATTAAATTGGGAAAAATTAAGGTTAAATAAGTCTGACAGAAGACAGTGAGGTTAAAACCCCTTGACAACTGTCGTTTCTGAAAAACATTACTTTCGTTTTATAAACTTCTCAAAATCACTCGTTTATTACGATTTAAATCAAGTGTTCTTTTTTATTTTAATCAATGATTTAAATCAGTTTTAAAAAAAGGTTTATAAAATCTAAAAAACACTTAAAAAATCTAAAACAATAATATCTTGACACTATTTAAATAAATTCATACTTATATATAGAAAAAACTGCTTATTTTGTTAAATAAAATAATAAATGAATATACAAAAAAATTTATGACGTTATTTTTAGTATTTTTTTTTAGTGAACATTATTAAATAAGCTTTTAATTTAAAAAAAATCATTTTTTGTTGACTTGATTTTTTTTATAAAAATCATTGATTTTTGATTTGTTTTAAATCATGATTTTTTCGAACCTTGGTTAAATCTAGTTAAATGCACTAATACGGCGAAATCAAAAGGTCAGTACAAACAATCATAATCTTTGCAAATATTGGTGTCAAAAAACTATTTAATACCTTTGTATTAAGATTATAAAATAATTTTCACATTTAGTATTATTTTAACGATTTTATGACATTTGACAACTGTCAACTAACTTTTAAAGCTAACTTCGGCCCGTGACTAAAAACCTGTTGTTAACTTCAGCCCGTGATTAAAGCTTGACAATGTGTATTGTGGAAGTAAAAAAACTACTTTTTCGCACTGAAATATCAACAAAAAAACAGTATATGGTCAACAAAAAAGCCGACTTGTTGACAATCGTTAAAAAAATACTATGAGATGATATGTATAACAAAAATAACCAGAAAAAAAATTCAGAAAGAAATTTTATTTATTTCAAACTTTGACCTACAAAACAATTAATTGAATGGTTTTTTTGAAAAAAAAGTAACTTTTTTAATAAACCGTACAATTTTTCCCAAAAATATGTCTTGTGTATTGTTGCAGGTCTATTTATTAGTAAGTTATGATTTTTTTCTTTTGTCTGTCAATTTAAAAAAAGTATCGTCATATTGCATGGCAGGGTTAAACGACTTGGAGTTTTTTTTTTAATATTTTCATGATACCAAGTAAAAAAGCCAACTTGGGGAATAACTATGCTCCACATAAAAACGTCTCACTTTGACATTTGAATTAAATATGCATTCAAATAATTGAAAAAGTGACAGATCAAGGGGAGTTTTATGCTAATTTTGTCTTATTTGTATAAAGGTTTTATTTTTATTGTATTATTTTCAGAAAATAATACGAAATTAGCGTTAAACTGACAGATACATAACCTCAATGTCAAATATCGAAGTGGGACTGTTTAATGTGGAGCATAGTACTGAAAAACGATATATACTCAGTATGCCTTAATATATAAAGTTATTACAAATAAATGCTTGTAACTATAGTAAGAAACATTTATTTATCTAAAATCCTTGATTGAAGGAAGCGGCAAACAAGCCACCCAACGCGCCTACCACATCGACGAGCTGAAAAACTCGAAAACCCTAAAAATCGACGTCCAATACTACCTGTCGCAGCAGATCCACCCGGTGGTGTCTCGCATCTGCGATCCGATCGAAGGCACCGACGCCTTCCAGATCGCGGAGTGCCTCGGGCTGGACACCGCGTCCTTCAAGCGCCCCGCTGCGCGATCCGACAACGCCGGCGAGAACGCCACGCGGCCCGAGGTGAAGTTCCGCGACGTCGACAAGTTCCGCTTCTCGTGCTTCGATTGCAAGCACGAGAACGCGGTGGACGGCGCTCTCGTCGGCAACGCGCCCTTCCTGGAGAAGTGCGGCAACGTCGCGTGCTCGGTCAGGCCGATCCAGTACCTGCCGTTCGTGCAGAACCAGCTGGCGAAGTGCATAAGGGGGTACATCAAGAAATATTACCGGAACGAGTTGACTTGCGAGGACCCGGCTTGCACCAACGATACGAGGAGGTTGCCCATGAAATTTGCGGGGAAATATCCCGTATGTACTCTCTGTAGGAGCGGGGTTATGTACAGGAAATACTCAGAGTCCAACTTGTACTCGCAGTTGACGTACTTCCAGCACATTTTCGATCTCTCCAAGCTCAACAAAAGTAAGTTAAAATAAAAATCTCAAATCGACCAGGCAAGCTTATTTTTCAACGAATTTGTAGGTAAATATTTACTATAATATATAATATATTATAATATTATATTATATTATAATATATATATATTATATAAAAAAATTTGACATTGCCACATTTTTTTTAAGTCAATTTTGGTTAAAAGTAAGTATTACATACCTAAAAGTAATGAATTCAATGCACAAAACTGTTGACTAAAAATATGTAATAATACATTTATTTGGTAAAATTGCATATTTTGTACGCACATATTTACATGAAATTTTACTAAAATTATGAAAAACTACATTAAATAATGCATTTATTTTATATGTGCATGTAAATATGTGTAAAATGCTTATTACCTTTACAAGGACGGACGGAATCCAGAACGCAAAATACTTGAAACATAGTAAAAACGTAAAAATTATGTAATTAAACCATTATTTTAAGGACGGACGGAATCCAGAACGCCAATAATTAATATAATACTTTTTAAGTAATTATAACATAACAAGTTTTCGAAGGAATGTAGAACACAAACAATTCCGAAAAATTTCGGTCGGCTAATAGATATCAGTGAGGCAGTCGCGAACCCTTTTGACTAAGGCTCTATCAGGAAGGGAAATAAGTATTAAGCCTAAGAGGCCCAGAAACTAATGCGCATTTTAATTATGTTTATAAATAACAAATTTTTATTTGATTTCATATTTCATTTTTTTATTAATTGCCAGAGATTCCCTACAATGGCCACACTATGGGGCGGTTAGATATAACTTTTTATAATCGTTTCAAAATATTTGAATGGTTTTATTTAGTAGTTTTAAAAGCAAAAAATGTTGAGCAATTACTTTATTAACCACCTCAATTATTATTTTTAATTTATTTTATAACAAGTTTTAGCGTATGTTAAAATAAAATGTTAATATTCACTTACCAGCAAAACAAACTAACAAACTGTCAAATCAGATACTTCTTTTAAACACAAAGGTTTCAAAGCCTTCTTAATTTATTTTCTTGATACACACTTTAAAACTTAATAAACATTCAAATTTTATTAAGAGTGATATTATTAAAAAATGCATTAATATTTGGTATCAAATTTTAAAAAAATAGTTTTGGCATAAAGTATGTTTTTTTAATTTTTGAAAGCTCCTAAAAACCAGCATTGCAAAAAAATAAAATTGTATTTTTTCCAGACTACTTGAAGCAGAAAAGCCAATTCAAGGCACTCTAGATATAAAAATAAAATTTAATCAAAAAATGTTTTGACCTGCCAAAAATTGACAAATGACATTTGTATGTATTCAGAATTTTATTTTGAATTGAAATATGTGAAAATGCTTTGGGTGTTTCATTAAAAAATAAAAATTTAGGACCATTTCCGGTGAAACCGGAAGTGTCAAAAATATGTTAAATATGTCAAAAAGTTCTAAATTACACTTCATATGGTCACCCTAGTTTGATGACCCTAGATAAAAAACAAATTTTTGCGATGTACCACGAATTTACTAGAAAATGGCATTTTCATTAAAAAAAAAATTCCGAAATGACGAATTTAGCCAACTCGGGACTTTTGGTGAAAGTTGTTCATATTATATAAACTTCAATCGAATAAAATATGAAGTAAAAAAAAATGTGGCAAAGTAGGTAAAAATTTTAACCTCAATTTTTTTTGCCTTTTTTAGAAAAAAAAATTTTGTGTGGTAAACATTTACCAACAATTTAAAAAAAATTAATTTTTGCCCAAGTTTTCAAGAAAAAATGTCAATGATTCTGTTCATTTTTAAAAAAATTCCTATAGTAAACAAAACATTTCAGCAAAAAAAATACGGGTCTCATCGATTTCGGTGGAGAAACTGTAAAAAAAAATTCGTTGAAAAAAATGCCTGGTTTAAGATGAAGCGATCCAAATGTTACCAATTTTTTTTAGAGCCTTTAATGGAGGATCAAATCGAACGGGGCTACACAGCTCTACGCGAAACCGTAGAGAAATATTTAAACCACTCCGGCTACTCTGTGATCAATTTAACCGAACTGTTTTCGGGGATATTCGTAAAAAATAATCACTTAAATCCGGTTAAAGAAGAAGTTGAAGATGTCCATTATGATGAGGAGGATTTTTAATTAGTTTTTATTTTTTAATCCATAAGTTTTATTTTTTTAGAATACATTGTAATTTATTTATACCTTTAATAATACAGCGTTTATATTATTATAAAACAAGTTTATTTCAATATTAATAAAATACAATACTTTTGTTTAGGAAGGAATATTTTGTGCAGCTTCGGTGAGTAAATTTTCTTGCTCAGTTGCAAGAGACACTGAGCAAATCAAAATATTGATTTGTTCAGGCGAAGGGCAACCGATTTGAAGCTGATCTTCCGCGGTAAAGTCGCCTCTACTCAAAATCTGCTCGATTTGTATGAAGGCGTTAACAATGTTGTTTTTAATGGGTCTGAAAAGAATGAATTCCGTCTCTCTGTTCGCCAAGTACAACTGCATGGATCTCTGTATGTCCGGTATGCGATTTTTCATGTTCTTCTGCGATTCCAAAATTACGTCGGCTATTTTGTTCGGCTGCGCGAAATCCTGACTTCTCACCGTCAACTCTGGGTTGTTGGTTTGGTGCTTGATCTTCAAAATGTGCTCGGATTTCTCGATCAAGGTTTGCAGTGAGGCAATCAAGAATTTGGTCACTTGCGAGATAAACGATTCGCAGGAGTGCTTCAGTTGCTTGTCGATCTCTTTCCTGGAATCCACCAGATACTCCTTAACTCTCGGTGTGCCTTCCAATAAGAATTCCAGCAGCGCGTTGTTTGAACCGAACGTGAAAATATTGCTGCGCTGCTCGTAAAAGTGCCTTGCCGCCCTGGGGACTGTACTGAAATCCAACGCCACCTCTTTGGCGGTGAAATCGACCTGAAAGGGGGCTATTTGCTCCCTGATGATCAACAAGTGTTTTATTTGAAACAGTTGACCATCCACGGGGGATTTTTTGTCCGATATCAACCCAGCTGCATGACCAACGGTCGAAATACAAATAACCAACGCCTCTTGCGCCAAACCTTGGAAAGTATCTCTGTCCAAGCAAAAATATAACCTCGATAGGCACACCAACGTTCTCTTGACGGTCGGGTACCACATCCCGTGCAAATCTGCCGGCGAATTGCCGGTGTAAGACCGGAAATGACCGGCGTTTATATTGGCGACTTCGTGGCTCTCTATGGAAGCCACTGAAGACGGTCTCGAATCGCGCATATCCAACGTTATGTTCTCCATTTGCTTCAGTTTTTCTGGATATGCTAAATCACCTGAAAAAAATAATTTATTTGATTTAAAGTTGTCTAAAATATGCTTAAACTGTCCTAGAACTATCTAAAAATGCTTTTAAACTGACTGAAGTACTCTAAAACTATCCTATAACCTAAACTATTCTAGAACTACCTATCTAAAATGCTTTAAAACTAAATCATTCTAAAACTGTCCTAGATCTATCTAGAATGCTTTAAAAATAGCGTAGAACCTTCTTAAATATGCTAAAACTGTCCCATATAAGTATCTAGAATGCTTTTAAAAAACTATCTAAATCATTCTAAAACTGTCCTAGAACATTTTTAAATAGGTATGCTAAAACTGTCCTAGTGTCTTAAATTATTCTAAAACTGTCTTAAAACCTGGAACAGTTTTAAAGCATTTCCCTGCTTAAAATACCCCATAGAGACCCTGTTCAAACCGATAGATATTTGTATCGGGATGTATGGTGTTTCTATAGGGTGTATCGGTTTGTATAGGACCCGTAGTTGAGATTTATGGTTGTTCTATAGGGATATCCACCATTGATTTATTTGCTATCGGTTTCAATGGGGAAAATACACATACATGTAGAAATTAGTTTTTTCCCTATAGGACCCTATAGGTTTTAATAAAATTTTGTCAAATGTTTTATGGTTGCTCTATAGGGATATCCCTATATATCCTTCATTGAGTTATTTTCTATCGGTCTCAATAGGGAAAATGTAAAAGTTATGGTGTGCCTATAGGTAATTTCCTATACATTTTCTATCGGGCTGTATCCGGAAAAACCCATGGACAAATGCACATATAGAATCCGGTAGCGCCCGATAGATTATTAATAGGTCTCTATGGGGTATTTTAAGCAGGGTTTACATTGCTTTAAAACTGTCGCAGAACTATCTTGAATGCTTTTAAACTATCTAATAAATAATTCTAAAACTCATAAAACCTTCTTAAATATGCTTTTAAACTATCTAACTCATTCTAAAACTGTCCTAGAACTGTCTAAAACGCTTTTAAACTGTCTAAATCGTACTTAAACTATCCTAGAACTTTCATAAATACTTTTCTAGAACTATCTAAAAGGCTTATATTTTTTCTAAATATGCTAAATCATCTTAAAAAATAAAAAAATTATTGGTTCTTCAAGGTGTCCACAAAACTATTAGAGAACTCTTTTAATTGTTTTAAACTGCTGAAATCATCCTACAACTATCTTAACTGCTTTTAAACTGTCCTAGAACCGTCTAAAATATGTTAAAACTGTTCTAGAATTATCTATAATGCCTTTAAACTGTCTAAATTATTCTTAAACTGTCATAAACTTTCTAAAATATGTTAATACTACTTTAAAACTATTTAAAATGCTTGTATACTGTCTAAATTACTCTTTACACTGTCCTAGAACTATCTAAAATGCTTTTAAAGCGTCCAAATTATTCTTAACGTCCTAGAACTTTCTAGAATATTCTAAAACTGTGCTGAAATTATTATCTAAAATGCTTTTACTGTAAATTATTCTCAATGTCCTAGAATATTCTAAAACTGTCCTAAAATAATATCCCAGCAAACACACTAGTCCGGCCATGCAATGGCACATTACTGGGCCATTACATAATCCAATGGCCCATTAATGGGCCATTGCATGGCCGGACTAGTGTGTTTGTTGGGATGCTTTTAAACTGTCTAAATTACTCTCTTCACTATCCTAAAACTTTCTAAAATATGTTAAAACTGTTCTAGAATTTAAGTTGTTTTTCCTAAAATATGCTAAAACTGTCCTAGAAATATCTAAAATGCTTTTAAACTGTCTAAATTATTCTCAATGTCCAAGAACTTTCTAAAATATTGTAAAACTGTCCTGAAATTATCTAAAATGGTTTTAAACTGTCTAAATTACTCTACACACTGTCCTAAAACTTTCTAAAATATATTAAAACTGTTCTAGAATTATCTAAAATGTTTTAAAACTGTCTAAATTATTCTCAATGTCCTAGAACTTTCTAGAATATTCTAAAACTGTTCTATAATTTAAGTTGTTTTTTTACCTGGGGATGGTTTATAACCAGTCAAGTCATGCTGGAAGAATATATTGGTCCTAAATACAAGCCTTTCCTCAACATCCTGCAATAACTGCTTTATAGTCTCAACATATTTCTCCAAATTCTCATTGCTCAAAATTTTATCGCTTAACATTTCCTTCTTCAAAATACCGCACAGCTCACTCAAAACCTCAATATGGTTTATGGAAATCAAGCAAGGCCTCAATGTGTCGTACAAATGCTGGCAAATATTCGCTAAATAATCATTTAATTGCTCAGAAGTTTTGCTGAAGAAATAACCATAACAATGAGCTTCATCCTGACAGACTTTCATGGTAAATAAAGCACAAGATCTGAATAAAATGCTGTGATCAACTCGGTGTTTCTCTTTCAACTCAGCCAAGGCTTTAGCTACAGCCACAGACAGTATTGGTAATCTCTGATTCAAGTAGGATTTCTGACAATCGCTTAAAATATTCATGTACTGCTCACTGTTGTCTTCTTTATCCTCCAAATGCATTAAAATATATTTAACTTTAGTTGCGGCGCTTTGAAATTTGCCGTAGTACAGACTAAACGCGGAATCCATACCTGGTTCATTGGAATTTTGAATTAAAGGTACAGCCTTCATTTCTGAATCCACTATGTGTTTTGTTGTGTCAATTACAATATTATTTACATAGTTGTAAATCTTGTTGAGAGCTGTGGTTAACAGACTCTCATATTTCATTTTATATATCCTAGATTCCTTATATTGCATGTGATCATTGAGGAAATGTATAGACTCACCAATACTATCCAAAATATCCGTAAAATCCTTAGAGTTGATTTTGTTGCTAAACCTGTCCACATTGTCTTGCAGCTTACTAAAACTCGTAAAATACTTCAATTTCTCGCTCAAACTACCCTTTTTCTGCTTTAAAACTCTTTGATGGGCCATTAACTGCTCGCTAAGGTTGTGCAAGTAATTTGTCTTCGATGTAACATTATCATACTTTTCCTTCAACTGGTTCAAAGAATCCAGGGTAGCATTGGAGCATTCAAACAAATTTTCACAATTTGCATGATGGTTGCTCAATTCCTGCTGATGCAACTGAAAATGCCGTAAACTCTCATACTTTAACTCTTCCTCAACATCAATCAACCATTTTATGTAACTGCGATTTATAGCGATGTAAGGCTGCGTCTCTTTGCTCACTTCCTCCTTTACCACCTCGGTTGCACCCTCTGCGCTGTAAAACAATTCTTGTATTTTGTCTCCCACTTCGTAGATCAAATCCAGTTGTTCGTTTGTCAGCGGGGCCAAAGGATTGTCGCTTGCCTGCCAGTTCGTTATGTTTTCTTGCACTTGAGCCTCCAAGGATTTCTCCTGCGACTCCACAGCCGAATTCATCGTTTATTTTGTGTATTTTGAAGTGACATTTCTTGCTGAACAAGTGAGGTTATACAACTCCAATTGTTTTGACACATCATCCCAGTATACGAGGGTTGCGTTATGTTGTCGCGATTTATTTTCAACGATTTAATGGATGATTTAATGCATACGACCACAGACAAAATAGACTTGCCCTGTTCAGTATCGCTAACATGAAACCAGCGTGTCATAAATCGGGAAAGGGGGGCAAGGGAATGTATACATTATATTATATATTATATAAGAGAAGATATGTATTCTGCCAGGCCCGTATTAAATAATTTCGTACGAGCGGTATCTAATTTAAAATATTCCTAGTGGATTATCAAAGAAATTCATCTAGTTTTACGCTCCAGAATAAACGAAGTACGGCTCTGTGCACAGGAGAGAACAATACAACATCTGTGTGCGCACGCAAGGTATTGACATGCAAAATTAATAAAATCGCTTAAAATTTATCTAGTAATTACTACTTACTGGAAAAAGGAAATTGGTTGAAATTGGCTGGAACTAGTTTCACTACGACTAGGACACACTTTGACAACACATTTACCCATAATGTTCAAAGAATTTTACATAAATAATATATCCTCACAGGTCAACTGCTCAAATATGAATGATGCGAACTGGAAAACAGGCACCCGTTCAGGCACCCGCCCGGCCGTATCATTTTCTCCCTAAGGCAAGTCTATTTTGTCTGTGCATACGACGTTGATTTTTTTTTTAAATAAACAAAATTAAGAAATTCTACAAAATAAGGCGTTAAATAATGTTGGTTATATAGTTTCTTGTAGTTGGTGGTACTGTTTTTATGTTGGTTGCACTGTAGTTTCTTCAAACTGGCGCCAAATTGCTGATAGTTCGTTGTGATCTGCTATATTTTTGTTATTCTGTGTAAAACTTTCTTGTAAGAAGCAACAATGGCTGGACGAGACTATGATAAGGATAAAGGTAAGCAATTAGAGCCTTAGGAAGTGATTTAACAGTAAAATAACCGCTTTTCAGAATCGTTGAAAACGTTCTTTATGGAATACAGCGTTCAAGATGACTCCGGCATGAAGGACTTTAAATATTCGAACCAACTAACGAAGTTAGCTCACAGAGAGCAAACGGAAATGTACATTGAGTTGGATGATGTGCATGATTTCGATGATGAACTAGCAGAAGCTATAATGGGCAATACAAGACGTTACAGCAATCTGGCATCCGATGTTGTTTTTGAGATCCTACCCACTTTCGTGACAAAAGACGTAATCGCAAAAGATGCCTTGGATGTGTATATTGAGCATAGATTAATGATGGAACAGAGAACGAGGCAACCACATGAGCAAAGGGACAACAACAACAAATTCCCTCCAGAATTAATGAGAAGATAGTAGGTTTATTAATATTCATGCAATATAAATGTAATTAATAATTTCCCCACAGTGAAATTTACTTCAAAGACATGTCCACCAGCAAAACCGTCCCCATTAGAGAAGTAAAAGCAGAAAACATTGGCAAACTTGTAACTGTGAGAGGCATTGTAACCCGCAGCACAGAAGTAAAGCCCATGATGTGTGTTGCAACATACACGTGCGATCAATGTGGTGCTGAAACATACCAACCAGTGAACTCATTGAGTTTCATGCCCCTTGACATGTGCCCCAGTGATGATTGCAGGGTTAACAAGTCCGGGGGTAGATTGTATTTGCAGACCAGGGGCTCCAAGTTTGTCAAGTTTCAGGAGATCAAAATACAGGAACATGTGAGAATAATATGTTAAAAATAAAAATAAATGGTCTAAGGGTAAATCCTAAGACCATATTTTTTTAGATAGATAACACCTATTCCATTATAGATAGTTCTGTAATAGATAACAACCTTATTCCATCAGGGCTGTCATCGAACTGTCAAATGTCAATTTTAAGGTTAATTTACCATAACCCACAAACTAACCTAAAAATTGACATTTGACAGTTTGATGACAGCCCTACCCACAAACTAACCTAAAAATTGACATTTGACAGTTTGATGACAGCTGGAATCACAAAGTAACCTTAAAATTGACAGTTTGATGACGGCCTTACCCACAAACTAACCTAAACATTGACATTTGACAGTTTGATGACAGCTGTAATCACAAAGTAACCTTAAAATTGACATTTGACAGTTTGATGACAGCCCTACCCACAAATTAACCTTAAAATTGACATTTGACAGTTTAAGGACCGCCCTACCCACAAATTAACCTTAAAATTGACAGTTTGATGACAGCCCTACCCACATATTAACATTTGACAGTTTAATGACAGCCATACCCACAAATTAACCTTAAAAATTGACATTTGACAGCTCTACCCACAAATTAACCTTAAAATTGACATTTGACAGCCCTACCCACAAATTAACCTTAAAATTGACATTTGACAGTTTGATGACAGCCCCACCCGGAAATTAACCGTTGACAGTTTCATGACAGCCTTGATGGAATACGGTTAATTTTTACAAAAGGAGTAAAATGGTTGTTAACCTTGGACCAGGAATTTCTAGATGGATATTTTATAGTGTTTTTTCTATTAATTATTTTAGAGCAGCCAAGTTCCTGTGGGTCACATTCCCAGAACTCTTGCCATATTCTGTAGGGGTGAAAATACGAGACATGCCCTACCCGGTGATCATATTTCCGTGACCGGTATATTTTTGCCGCTTATCAGGGGCGGTTTCAGGCAAATTGCCGGAGGGTTGTTATCTGAGACGTACCTGGAAGCCCATGTAAGAAATTATGCATATCGTCGAAATTTTTTGCTGACTTATTTTCGTCGTAGAAAATCACGTCGCTGAACAAGGTGGCCGAAGACGAGAACTCCTCCCTCACGCCGGAAGAATTGGAACTGTTGGGCGAAGAAGACTTCTACTCGAAACTGGCGTCGTCTCTGGCGCCCGAAATTTACGGGCACGTCGACGTGAAAAAGGCGCTTCTGTTGCTTTTGGTGGGCGGAGTCGACCGCAGACCCGATGGGATGAAAATCCGCGGCAACATCAACATTTGCCTCATGGGAGATCCCGGTGTGGCCAAGTCGCAACTCTTGGGGTAAAAAGATGGATACCAATTGTGCATTTCTAAACGACGATATTTTTTGTAGGTACATTGACCGTTTGGCGCCCAGAAGCCAGTACACCACTGGCAGAGGTTCTTCCGGTGTCGGTTTGACGGCCGCCGTCATGAAGGATCCTTTGACTGGGGAAATGATGTTGGAGGGGGGCGCTTTGGTTTTGGCCGATCAGGGAGTCTGCTGCATTGACGAGTTCGATAAAATGGCCGACGACGATAGGACTGCCATACACGAAGTAATGGAACAGCAAACTATCAGTATTGCAAAGGTAAGGCATTTTTACCAATTTTTCTTCAAACTGACCACAAAACTGTTATACAACTCTTTTAATTGTTTTTAAACCGCCTAAATCATCCTACAACTATCTTAAATGCTTTTAAACTGTCCTAAAACCGTCTTAAATATGCTAAATCTGTCCTAGAAATATCTAAAATGCTTTAAACTGTCTAAATTATTCTTAAACTGTACTATAACTTTCTAAAATATGCTAAAACTATCTAAAATCCTTTTAAACTCTTTAAATTATCCTTGAACTTTCTGTTAAAACAATCTAAAATGCTTTTAAACTATAAATAATTTTTACACTGTCTTCTAAAACGGTTAAATAGACTAAAATCTCACCCAAGATAAAAAGTGTATGTAAATACAATTTTTAGGCCGGTATTATGACATGCCTGAACGCGCGAGTATCAATCCTGGCGGCGGCCAACCCCGCCTACGGTCGCTACAACCCCAGACGCACCATCGAGCAAAACATCCAACTGCCCGCCGCGCTTTTATCGCGTTTCGACCTTCTCTGGCTCATACAGGACAAAGCCGACCGCGACACCGACCTCCGGCTCGCCAAGCACATCACGTACGTGCACCAGCACAGCAAGCAGCCCCCCCTCGAGAATTCTACGCCCCTGCTCGAGATGTCGGTCATGCGCAAGTACATCGCGCTGTGCAAGAGAAAGGACCCCATTATTCCGACGGAGTTGACCGATTTCATCGTGGGGGCGTACGTTGAGTTGAGGAGGGAGGCGCGCAACTCCAAGGACGTGACGTTTACATCCGCTCGTAATCTTCTCGGGATTCTCCGCCTCTCCACGGCTCTGGCTCGGTTGAGGCTCGCCAACGAGGTGGATAAGAGCGACGTGAACGAGGCGATCCGGTTGATGGAGATGAGCAAGGATTCGCTGAATCAGCGGTTCGAGAGCGCGGGCTACCGGCCGCCGAACACCAACGACAGGATCTTCGAGCTCGTTCGGGAGCTGGCGGGGGACAGCAAGACGGTCAAGATTGCCGACGTGGTGGAGAAGTGCAGCAGCAAAGGGTACAATCCCGACCAGGTCGACGCGTGCATCGAGGAGTACGAGGAGTTGAATGTCTGGCAAGTTAACCAGACCAGGTCCAAGCTTACTTTTATATGAAAATTTCATTCGTTTTTTCCTTCATGTTCATGTTTTTCATTTTACTACATCACTTGTATTTTTTCATCAATAAAAACATCATTTTTTATTGGCTTGTTTTATTTTATTCCCCAGTAATTTCAAACAATTTTTTACTTTACTTTGAAAAAAATATATTTAACTGTTCTATAGAACTGTCTAAAATATGCTAAAACGGTCCAAAATTATCTAAAATGCTTTTACGCTGTCCCAGAACTGTCTAAATTATGTTTGAATTGTCTAAAATGTGCTAAAATTGTCTTGAAACTATTAAATGATTTAAACTGTCTAAATCTTTCTAAAAACAGTGCTAGAACCTAAACTGTTAAAATAATTTTTAATTAAAAATAATTTGACAGATTGCTAATTAGTATAGTTCTGGAACAGTTTCAAAATATACTAAAACAGTACAGAAATTATACAAAATGCTTTTAGGGTCCCAGAACTGTCTAAATTATGCTAGAACAGTCTAAAATGTGCTAAAATTGTCCTAGAATTATTTAATGCTTTAAACTCTCCAAAAAATATGCTAATTTGCATAGTTCTAGCCTAGAACTATGCAAATTAGCAGAACTTCTAGGACAGTTTTAAAACTCCTAAAAGCTGTCTAAAGTGGTTTTAAATTGTCTAAATTATTTTTAAATTGATTGCTAAAATAAGAAAATACCTCTTATGCAGGAAAAATGCAATTTTTGTGATTTTTTTAGGTAGGTAATAAAAAATAATTTTTGTTTGTTGAAAAAAAAATGTTTTTTCCTGAAATGATATAAAATACTTTATGTTCCAAAATGCACAGGGTTACCAATTATTTCCGACTATGTAATTGGTTTAAACCAGCTAGTATTAAAACATTTATGTAGGTGTAAACTACTGTAAAGGTGCATACAATTAAATCCTTGTCAGTTAATAATTTAATATAATCTTAAAATACAGATATTCAACAAAATAATAACAAAAACCTTATCATATCACAATAAAAGAATACAGAAAAATAGTGTTACATTTATTTTCGTAATTTAACAGAGTACTAATTGTGTATCTCAAATTAAAAATTGGTTTTGTATTTCTTCATCTCCACCATAATCAGGTGTATATTAACCAGCTGCGTTCTGACGGAAGGGGGCAGCAGCTTGTGAAACCTATGGTAATACTGAATCAGCTGCGTCAGCGACAGCTGCAGCAAACCCGACCCGGTCACCAGATTGGGAAAGGAGAGCAACACGTCCCTGTTCAACTCTTCCAGCGACTTCTTCCAGGTCTTGGAGAAATTCTGCACGATCTGATTGGCTCTCGGCTCCATCCCTTTCAGCTCCTCGATCATGGCCTTCTCGAAAAAGTACTCGCACTCCTTCACGTACTGGATTATCTCGCCGAAATACGGGTACAGGATTTCTTCCGCGTACTCCCCGCTTTTCGACGACAAGCGCGCTTTAAAAGTTTCCGCCTCTTTGGAGTTGTCGCGCGTTCGCTCCATGATTATGCCCAAAATCATGTCGTAATTGTTTATCAAAAATATCAGCTGTTCCTTGCGTTCCTCGAAAACCCCCGCCATGCGGAAAATAAACATTTCCACCTCCTCTTGCAGTTCCGCCAGCAGTTTGTTGATCAACTCGTTCGGGAAACTCTCGTTTATGCTCACGAGGGCGGCACTATACTCCGCGTACCTTCTTGCAATCTAAAGTAAACAATTTCGACATTATTTTTTGTATATCTACTTTATACATTTACAAGCTGTGTACTAAAAAGTTGGCAAAAATGGTAGCTTTCGACTTTTAACACATTCTGAAGTTGGCTTAAAAAAAGTGAAAAAAGTCACCATTCTAAAACTGTCCAAGAACCGTCCAAAATATGCTAATTAGCATAGTTCTTGTACAGTTTTAAAACTGTCCTAGAGCTAATTGTCTAAATTATGCTGGAACAGTCTAAAATATGCTAAAACTTTCCTAGAATTAATATATGCTTTAAACTGTCCTAGAACCGTCTAAAATATTATAAAACTGTCCTGTAACTGTCTAAAATATGCTAAAACTGTTTTATAGAACTGTCTAAAATATAATAAAACGATTCAAAAATTATTTAAAATGATTTTAGGCTGTCCTAGAACTGTCTAAGTCATGCTAGAACAGTCTAAAATATGCTTAAACTGTCCTAGAACTATTAAATGCTTTAAACTGTCCTAGAACCGTCTAAAATATGCTAATTGGCATATTTCTGGGACAGTTTTAAAACTGTCCTAGAGTTAATTGTCTAAAATATACTAAAACGGTTCAGACATTATCTAAAATGCTTTTAAATTGCCTAAATAATTTTTAATTAAAAATAATTTAGACAGTTTCAAAGCGTTTTCATTTAAACTGTCCTATAGAAGAAAAAAAATTCTATAGAACTGTCTAAAATATGCTAAAACGGTCCAGAAATAATCTAAAATGCTACTAAGCTGTCCTAGAATTGGCTAAAATATGCTAAAACTGTCCTAGAACTATCTAAAATGCTTTTAAACTGTCCTAAAAATTTCTATATTATTCTTATTGTCCTAGACTGTCTAAAATATGCTAAAACTGTCCTAGAACTATCTAAAATTCTTTTAAACGGTCCTAGAACTCTAAATTATTCTTAAACTGTCCTAGACTGTCCAAAATGCTTTTAAACTGTCCTAGGACTGTATAAAATTTGCAAAAAAGGTCCTAGATTTTTCATATAATTGTCCTAAAACTTATGTATCCTAGAACTGTATAATATGCTTTTAAACTGTCCTGGAACTGTCTAAAATATGCTAAAACTGCCCTAGAAATATCTAAAATGCATTTAAATTGTCTAAATTATTATTAAATTGTCTAAAATATGCTGAAACTGTCGTAAATCTAAAATTATTTTAAACTGTCCAAATTATTCTTAAACTATCATAAAACTGTCTAAAATGCTTTAAAACTGTCCTAGGACTGTCCAAAATATGCTAAAAATGTCTCAAATGCTTTTAAACTGTCAGAACTGCTTTTAAATTAAAACTTTTTAGGTTATTCTTAAGCTGCTCTAAAAATATGCAACAACTGTCCTAAAACTATCTAAAATGCTTTTAAACTGCTCTAACACCATGTAAAATGCTTTTAACCTAGAACCTTTCTAAATTATTCTTAAAATGTTTTAAAACCGTCTAAAATATGCTAAAACTGTTCTAGAAATGTTTGACAATTAAAAAAAAAACAAAAAAACATTTGCTTACATAATGTGGCCCCATTTCCTTGCTAAACTTTAAAATATCAAAGTCCTTTATACTCTGCACATTCAAGTTAATAATGTGTTGGAACCTACTGAGCAAAATTTTCTCCAGAAATTCCCAATAATCGTCCAAAGCGGGAACGCATCGTTTATGGCACATAATCTTGTATCTCAAAACCAAATGGTAGCACAAAAATATTGCCACAGAATCATAACAACCATTAAAATAGTTTTCCAAATTTTTCTACAAAAAATCCCTGGATAAAATGTTTTTTCACCAAATTTTAGTGTTTACCTGTAATAATGTAATAGTTCTGCCCATAATTTGAGTGAATAAATCTTTTGCAGCCTGATTTTGCACGTAAAAAAATTCGCTGGCAAATAAATATTCCCGACAAGCATTATCAACTAGTGCATATTGCACACTTCTAAATAATGACTCAAATGGATACTACAAGGACAAATTAAAACAATAAATGTACACTTTTTACATTTCATACCTTATTTTTGGTCTCTGCATGTGGTACAATTATGGGAGCCTCCAACTGTTGAGCCAAAACATCACCTCTATTTCCAATAGTAAAAACTGTAGCTCTATTTCTTAAACTGCTTTTATTGAACATGCCCCGGGTGGCAGTGTCCTCAATCCCCATCAAATCATCCTTAGTTGTGGTTTCTTCATACTGCAACTTCATTATCCGACCATCATAGGATTTAAAATAACTGTAATAAATTTTGCTCATTGTGTCCACATACTCATTGCACACCTCCTCAGCTGTGTTCCTCTCATTTGACAACAAAAATTCGTACAACCCCTTAAATTTGAGCAAAGCATTCTGCGGTATTTGATAGTTTGTCATGGGTTTTCTAAATCGTGCTATTTGCTCCAATAAGTAAACACGAATTTTGGTCATAGCTTTAATTCGCAACTTTTCCACAATATCTCTTACATCAAGACAAGATTTGGTATCCTTAAAGCTTTGTTCTTTGATGAAACCAATTTTGTGGTTTAAAATTTGCAACTGGGTCAAAAATTCTTTATCTGTTACTGTGTGATCCATAATGCCCAGCATTAAATTTTCTGGTACAGCTATATCATCAATGAATTGGCTGATTTGTCCCCTAATCGCTTGCCTGTTGGTCAACTCCTGACTCATAGAAATACTCTTACGTTGTAACGTTAATATCTCTGTACTTATGCTGCCTAAATCATTCTGAAAATCCAAAAGCATATTCTCCATACGCTCCAAAATCTGATCGCAAGCTGATATTTGATTGTGCAGGCTTGCAATGTTCTCACTCTCCTTGATATATACGTTAATAGACTCATTTTCGGTGCTTTTCAATTCTTGTTCGATTTCCCTGGAATAGTGCCTCAAATCTGTGAACGTCTGTAGAATATCTTGCACCACGTTGTCTGGTGTGTTCAATTCATCGCGACTGGTGTATGTTTGGATGCATTTGTTACTCATTTTTATGTGCTTTATGTTACGAGGATTTTAAAATTTTGATACACAAACAATTAAAAACAAATGTACTGACACCTGTCACGTCATTTTCACAGATTAGCTGGCCATACACAGACGTTATTGCGCGCGGTTTATCGTGTTATCTGCAAAAACATATGGAAAATCATGTACGTGAGTGAGTATCGCCGCGCGAAATGATAGAACGGGAAGGGATTTCAGACGTGCTTTTTTCTGGAGTGTGGCGTGTCCACACGCCACATTCCGCGTCACGGTTTACCTTTGCTTGGCAAAATTTCACGTTCAAAATTTGTACATGATCACATGCAGTTTCAAACGACTCGATAATGACACTTTTTGCCCACTCACATACGATTTTTCCTTTGAAACTGATATACCACGGGCAATCACTTGCTAAATCATTTGAATACTTTATCAAGTGTATGGAACATGACGCTTTTTTTGCCATGCCGTTCTTTCGTGCATACTAACCGCTACATCCCAACACGCCACGATAAACCGCGCGAAATAACGTCTGTGTATGGCCAGCTATTACTTGTTTGAAATTGTCGCCTCGTTGCCAAGTTTCGCCCCATATTGTTTCTTTTTACGTATAAAGCCGGTTTAATTTAAACGTATTAATTGAATTGAGATTTTTTTAGTTAAAATTGCTTTAAAATATTGTTAACTATCAATAAAGACGTAAAACGTATTGAATTAATGCATAATATTTGTAGTGAGAAATCCGACAACAGTGGTTATACATTACCTACTGAGAGAACTGTATTATCGGCGCAGGTTTGCCTTTAAAATTCGAAAATTCCCTAGTTCTTTCTTTTGGTGCGAATTCGTCGCTAAAATGGTAAGTGGTACGTTTTCACTTAAATCCTGAAAAATACAAGGAATCCTTTAATTAATGTTTATTTTTTGTATCGTTTATGGTGTTTAATAGACCGATGAACGATTCATCCGGGATATTTTTCGTGATTTTCGTGTAAAAATGGAGTTTTTCAGGACATAACCTATGTGTCAGTTTGCGAGGTAAACATGTGAATTTTGTATGTTTTTTTAGTCGCTCGTGATACCAGAAAAGTTCCAGCACATCCTTCGTATCTTGGGTACGAACATCGATGGAAAACGTAAGGTAATGTTCGCCCTTACGTCCATCAAGGGGGTTGGTCGCAGATACGCCAACATCGTATTGAAAAAGGCCGATGTGGATTTGGACAAAAGGGCCGGAGAATGCTCCGACGAGGAGGTGGAAAAGATCATCACCATCATGTCCAACCCCAGGCAATACAAAATCCCAGACTGGTTCCTCAACAGACAGAAGGACATCATTGACGGCAAATACAACCAAGTAAGTACCACTCATATTCTCTTTCAGCATTATTATGTGTAAATCTAGCACAGTTTTCAAGATATAGGGATTCTTAATGAAATAATTGTAACTTGGAGTAAACATTTTAAACTTCAGTAGACATTCTTCAGACAGTTATATCTAGCTTACCTAACACAAAATGTAAAATTAATCTAGCTTATTTGACTTTCTTAAGGTAGTTTTAAAGAAAGTTAATTCTACCTTTGGTTGATATTCTTTAAACAGTTATTTCCAGCTTCTTAACAATTAAGGCTTTTTTAAGACTACTATTGAGTTTAACTTTACAGTGTTTAAAACAGTTAATTCTTGCTTAAGTTGACATTTTTAGGCAGTTATATTCAGCTTAACATGACAGGCAGTTTTTAAGACAGTTACATCTAGCTTAAGTTGGCATTTTTAAAACAGTTAATTCTAACTTCAGTTGACATTCTTCAGACAGTTAACCTAGCTTGGCTATCTTGACATTCTTGAGGCATTTTTTAAAATATTTAATTTTAGCTTAAGTTGACTTTCTTTAGAAAGTTATATCTAGCTTAACTTGACATTCTTAATGCAGTTTTTAAGTAGTTACATCTAGCTTAACTTGACATTCTTAAGCCAGTTTTAAAAACAGTAATACCTAATTTTTAAGACAGCTATATCTGGCTAACTTAACATTCTTAAGGCAGTTTTTAAAACAGTTTCCAGTTTAACTTGACAGTTTTTAAAACAGTTAATTCTAGCTTGACATTTTTCAGACAGTTATATCTAGCTTAACTTAACATTCTTAAGCCAGTTTTAAAAGCAGTTGATTCTAGTTTAACTTCACAGTTTTTAAAACAGGTAATTCTAGCTTGACATTTTTTAGACAGTTATATCTAGCTTAACTTGACATTTTTAAGCCAGTTTTTTAAACAGTTATACCTAGTTTTTTGACATTTTTTAAGACAGCTATATCTATCTAACTTAACATTCTTAAGGCAGTTTTAAAAACAGTTAATTCTAGCTTGAAATTTTTCAGAAAGTTATATCTAGCTTAAATTAACATGCTTAAGCCAGTTTTTAAAACAGTTATACCTAGTTTTTGACATTTTTTAAGACAGCTATATCTAGCTAACTTAACATTCTTAAGCCAGTTTTTAAAACAGTTGATTCTGGTTTAACTTGACAGTTTTTAAAACAGTTAATTCTAGCTTGACATTTTTCAGACAGTTATATCTAGCTTAACTTGACATTCTTAAGCCAGTTTTTGTTATAACTAGTTTTTTGACATTTTTAAGACAACTATATCTAGGTAACTTAACATTCTTAAGGCAAATTTTAAAACAGTTAATTCTAGTTTAACTTGGCTATCTTAAGACAGTTATATTTAGTTTATTGACATTTTTAAGACATTTATATCTAGCTTAACTTGACATTCTTAAGGTATTTTTTAAAACAGTTAATTCCAACTTCAGTTGACATTCTTAAGACAGTTATATCTAGCTTACCTAACTGTTTTAAAAAGTGTATAAAATTTCAATTTAATTCTAGCTTAATTTGATATTTTTAAGGTAGCTATATTTAGCTTAACTTAACATTCTTAAGGCAGTTTTTAAAACAGTTCATTCTAGCTCAACTTGACTATCTTAAGACAGTTATATCTAGCTTAACTTGACATTCTTAAGGAAGTTTTTAAAACAGTTATACGTAGCTTGTTGACATTTTAATTCAGTTTTTAATAGAGTTATTTCTAGTTATAATTGAAAATCTTAGGGCCAATTTATAAAACTTAATTCTACCTTAAGTAAACATTTTTTAGACATTAATATCCAACTTAAGTTAACATTCTTAAGCCAGCTTTATAACAGTTAATTCTAGCTTAAGTTGACATATCTAGTTTGTTGAGATGTTTAAGACAGTTATATAAAGTTTGTTGACATTTTTGAGACAGTTGAAATTTTTTATAAATTATCTTAAACTTAAACTTGTGTGCACTATAAAACGGCAATATTTTCCATCAATGGCAATATTTGCTGGTAGCTGGTGCAAAATAATAATCATTACAGAAAAAACTGCAAACCAAGCTTAAAACATGCGGATTGCTCACTTATTTTACGTGATATGTAAGAAGCATTTTGAGCAGCATGTGCAGCCATTTTTCACCTATGAGACATTACAACAAAAAATGACCGGGAATGTTTTGTAAAGGGGAACAATTTGCGTGTTGTAGTTGACTTCATCTTCCCTGGACTCGAAACTTCGTGAAGATTTGGAACGCATGAAGAAGATCCGCTCCCACAGAGGATTGCGTCACTACTGGGGCCTGCGCGTGCGCGGTCAACACACCAAAACCACCGGACGTCGTGGACGTACCGTTGGTGTGTCCAAGAAGAAGTAATCTGCTTCTACGCTTCTGGCATATATTTTATATTTAAGATATAATAAAAAAAATGTTTTCAACAACCATAGTTTTATTTGACAACGCCTGGATCCAAGGAAAAAGAACTGACACAGAAAAAATATAAGTTAACAAAAAATTTAAGAAAAGAAAATAATAAAAAATATCAACAAAAATCAGCGTTCGACTGATGTATGTCATGATATTTATCACGATATTTGTAAGCAATGATATTTTTAAAACTTACAATTAAATATTTAAAAGCTTTTTTCAACATTTTCTTAATAGATGGCGCTACTACTGCCTTCAATTTAGAGTAGGTATTTCTTAATTTAATAAATATTTGTAGATTCCAACTCAACCTTTATAATCTGTGTTCCAACTTCAGTTGACATTCTTCAGACAGTTCTAGCTTAAGTTGAACTTCTTAAGGCAGTTTTTAAAACAGTTAATTCTAGCTTAATTTGACATTCTTAAGGTAGTTTTAAGACGGTTAATTCTACCTTAGGTTGATTCTCTTAAACAGTTATTTCCAGCTTAACTTAAGGCAGCTGTCTAAAAAATGTCAACTCAAGCTAGAATTAACTGTTTTAAAACTAGTTTTAAAACAGTTAATTCTAGCTTGAGTTGACATTTTTTAGACAGTTATTACAGCTTGATTTGACATTCTTAAGGCCGTTTTTAAAACAATTAATTCTAGCTTAACTTGACATTTTTTTGACCATTAATTCCAACTTTAGTTGACATTCTTAAGACAGTTATATCTAGCTTACCTAACTGTTTTAAATACTGCATATAAAATGTCAAGTTAATTCTAGCTGAATTTGAAATTCTTAAGGTAGTTTTAAGACAGTTAAGTCTACCTTAGGTTGACATTATTTTAACAGTTATTTCCAACTTTACTTAAGAAAGTTAAGTCTACCTTGGGTTGACATTCTTTAAATAGTTATTTTCAGCTTTACTTAAGGCAGTTTTTAAAACAGTTAATTTTAGCTTGAGTTGACATTTTTTAGACAGTTATTTTCAGCTTAACTTGACATTCCTTTTAAAACAGTTAATTCTAGCTTAACTTAAAATTTACAGTTGATAAATATAAATGTGATTTTTTTAAATTTATAATTTGATGTGTTATAATTGCAGTAATAAAAGTAATAAATATAAAATGCCAAAGAAAAAAAAATTATAAACCTTTAATTAATACTTTTTGAAGTTAAAATTTAATGTTATAATTTTTTGTTAAGAATTTATTTTTTGATTTATAAGTGTTTTGTTTATTTTTTTAAATAAATTTATTAAAAACATTTTTATTCTGGCTAATTAACTTTTGACCAAAAACTTAAAAGAAATAAATAAATATCAATATATTTTGATATTTATATAAATATCATGATATTTTTGAATCTTCCCAAAAATCACTAGGAACAAAAATAAAAACTAAAAAAAATGTTTGAATAAAAATTAAATTATTTCTAAAACGAGTTTTATTTAACAATATTTACAAAACACTATTTTACTTGTCTTTTGAACTCTTTAAATGTTGCAAATAATCCAACAAATCATTCATACCAGAAAATTCAGTCCTCCCTACAGGAGGGTCATTCTTCTTTATTTTAGGCAAAATCTCCCCACATTTTTGCCTAAACTCCTCAAACTAAAACAAACCAACTACAAAATCGAATTTACCACCACAAAATACAAAAATATTACATCACTAGCCCCCGAAATCTTCCAAATACTATAAAACAAAACCCCACAGCCAGTGAAGGCATACAATGAGCCCCATCCCAACGCCCTCAGCGCCAAACTAGCCCCCGTTTCAGTGAGCCCTTTATGAACTTCCATACCCTTTCCAAAATATTTTGGGTCTTGTTTTTTGGCCGCACTCAATGTAGCCCCAAAGCCAACAATTGCTGATATACCTGAGACACCAGCCAAAAATAAACTCGCTAAAATTTTTCATTAAGTTTATACAAAACGTTTAAGGGGGGTCATACAAACCTTTTGCCTTAAATTCTTTGCTATATTTGGGTTTTTTCGTCTCTTCGATTGTTTGTTCCATTATTTATTAATAATTTTGCAACCAGAAATTATTATAACCACATAACATGGTTTACTTTGCAGTTATTCCCTTTATTATTGATAAATAAAAGAATTTTTATTAATATAAAAAGTAGGGTTATACTATAGACATAACACACAGGACAAATAGAAAAATACCACAGACTGAAAAATACCGATTTAAAAACACATTTTTTTAATTTAACCATTTAAATAACATGTTTACAGTTAAGATTTAATAATTTACAAATGCAATTGATTTTTAAACAATTCTATATGCGGAATTCCTGTAAACTGACGTCATTAATTATGGATTATGGATGGTGATTTTTATGGTATTTAAACGTGAAAATTCCTGGATGTTTGTCAGCTGTCAACAGAAATTTTTTGATTAGATTAGTGTTTTTTTGTGATAAAATTGTTAAGTGAGAGCGAAATGATCAGTGTAAATGCTATAAAATGCTCCATATAATACCAATAATGCATTATTACGACAGAGACTATACGTAAACTATGAGTTAAATCAATTTGTTGATTGGTTATTTAGTTTGTAGGTTTAATACGTTTTTTTACTCTAAACAGTGATATATATTTTACATGTGTAATTTCTGTGGATTAAGGTGAGTGCTTGTGCTACAATTTTAAGGTTAAACAACCCCTATTTTTTAGGACATCACATTTACATACATAACATTACAATAAGATGACTCAAGGGAAAATCACAAGAAAATGGGAGGCATTCCCAGGACAAAACAGATTCTACTGCAACGGCAGGCTGATGACAGCCCCGCATTCGGGCGTGTTTTTGCTTACTGTATTCCTCATCACTGGAACAAGTGCTTTATTTTTTATATTTGAGTAATTAGGTCAGTGCCGTGATTTTGCTTGCAATTTTAACACGCGATAATTTCAGCTGTAAATATTTGGCGGAAAACGTTACAGTTGCCATACCAATCATAGGGGCGGTGCTATTTATATTCACAATGTCTTCCTTGCTGAGAACAAGCCTTACGGACCCGGGTATAATACCTAGAGCCACCAATGAGGAGGCAAATTACGTGGAAAAGCAAATAGAAGTGACGAATTCCGCGAACAGCCCCACTTATAGGCCGCCGCCCCGCACGAAAGAGGTTTTGGTTAAAGGGCAGACAATTAAGTTGAAGTATTGTTTTACATGCAAAATATTTCGGCCGCCCAGGGCTTCCCATTGCAGCCTCTGTGATAACTGTGTGGACAGATTTGATCATCATTGTCCATGGGTAATTTTTTATTTTTCTTGTGGTGTTTTTTACTTGTGATTTTTTTTAGGTGGGAAATTGTGTTGGTAGAAGAAATTACCGTTTTTTCTACATGTTTATTGTTTCCCTTGCGTTTTTGGCTGTTTTTATTTTCGCATGTGCTATTGCACATTTAATTTTAAGTGAGTATTTTATTTTTTGTTTATTACTGTACTTAATTGTATATTTTCACGTTGAGTGTTTATAATTATTTAGTTAATTAATGGGTTAATAACATAAATAATCATAAACATGACCCTGGTTATGTAAACACATTTAATTTAAATAAAAACTTTCATGTCCCTTTTATGGTTCTATTACATGTGAGAATTACATAATTAAATTGGGGTGTACATTTTAATGCTTATTAATATTCTTGTTGCTTTATTTGTCATGCTTTTATACTGATACTAAAACGAAAAACAAAACCGTTTTTAACAGTTTATCCATTATCTTTTTTTGATAAATGTTTGCATAAACAATCATGCTGCTAAAAATAATTATTTAAATCTTCTTGCCTTATGCACAAAGGTTAGTAAACCCATGAATATTATTTTGTGTTTAATATTAATCTAATGGTTATATTATAAAATAAATCTGAGCTATGCTTTGCACATACATTTCTAATCTTAAATTTGGTCTATTTTAAAACCTTTTAATGATGCATAAAGAAATGGCAAAAGCATTTAATACCCATTGTTAGTGTGTGAACTTAATTGTGTGTAACACAAAAAATCGCATTCTTAAAGTAACATAACGTTTATAAATTACAACAAACGAAACGTTAAAATCTCATATCCGTAAAAAATACTGTTTTGTTAATACAGGGTTTAACATAAATTGGAATAAAATTAAATGAATGTTAAATGAAATTTAAAAGTATTAAATGATTAGAAGATTTATTACCTAAGCCTACGTAAAATTTGAAAGAAAAAATTATATTCTGTCATAAAAGTTGCCAGATTTTGTTTGAATTTACCTTAATTACAAAAATGACATAATAAACAAATAATAAAAATTCGTTCGTAAGTCTTGACACATTTGATAAAACGTGACGTCACGCGCTGTATATCTTTCGTTTTTCAAAACGCTTATAATAAACGTAGATTCCAAATAACAACAAAAAAATGATGTTTTAGTTTCGAAAGAGGATTCAAGACAATTTCTGGATGCGGTAAAAGAATCTCCGCCCAGCATAATCGTGGCGCTGATATGCTTTTTCAGCGTTTGGAGTATTTTGGGGCTGGCCGGTTTCCACACGTACCTCACCACCAGCAATCAAACTACCAATGAAGATGTAAGTCAACTTTTTTTTTATTTTTTTTTATTGAATAAATATAACTAATAAGTTGATACTTTGGGTGGTTCTGCTGGTGCATACGGCTCATTAGCGTCTTTGCCGTGGTAGAGACCGTAAGTCCACGGTTTTAATTCGTACGGGATCTGGTTTTCCATGGTGGTAAGATGTACACCCAGGTCTTCTAATGTGGGCAGATCTGGGTCCACATTGTCGGTTAAGTGTTCTCTCTCCAGCCTCTCCCAGTGCAGGTTACCTATGGGGTTATTAGGTGACAGCATGTTTGACAAGGTGATTTTCATTTTGAAGATGGGGTCGTATCGCATGTCGTAGCGCGTGTAACCATACTCAACAGGACCCTTTCTCATCACCCTGAAGAAATAGTCGACTAACTCCGAAAGAAGGTAACGCTTCGGCCCGACAGCTTGGTATATTTTCCCTTTGGTTTCTGGGTTTTTAATGGCTTCTACAACCGCAGCTGCCACGTCCACGCAATAGACTGGTTGCTTAATGGTTTGTTCCCCTTTTTGCCATATAGGCACATATTGCATAAAACGTCGCCAAGGTCCCACGTAATACCGAACGAACCTATCTTCCTGCCCGTATATATCGGCCGGTCGAAATATTGTCGCTTCGGGAAACTCCTCCAAAACCGCGCACTCCCCCTCCCGCTTGCTAATCAGAAACTTCGACCCCCCTTTGATAAAAATACTAGTAGGATGTTCGCTGCAATTCAGGGCGGAGAAATGTATGAACCTCTCCACACCAGCCTCCTTGGACAACCTGGCCAATCTCGCCGCGCCATCTACATGCACGTCTTGGAACTTGAAGTTCTTCGTCTCCCAATCCCTGCCGATCAGGTTCACCACCACGTTGGAGTACTTGACGGCCTTCTCGATGGATTCTTCGTCGCGGAGGTGGAAGGGGGTGAACAGCACCTGCCCCAGGTCGCCGGCGACCTTCAGCCGCAAAATTTCGCTGCCGTCGTCCCTGTACGGGATGATTTGCTGCGAACCGATTTTCCCCAGTCGATTGCAGACGTATCTGCCCAGAAAACCGCTAGCACCGAAAATCGTCGCTACTATGCCGCTGAAACTCGCTCTGCCTCCGGTGCCTCTCCTATACGTTGCCAAGTTCAAGGGGGTTGTTTTGTTTTCGCCTTCGTCGCATTTTACTTCGCTACTGCAATATGGGCGGATGTTTCTGACATGATTTCTCAGCAGACGATTCATCGTGACTTTGACAACGTCACAATAGTTTTAACCATAGAAAAAACGTTTACCCTAAAGAAGCAACGCGCGCCATCTGTTCGAGAATTAACATTACATTTAAAGCATACGAACTGCACATCATTTTTAAATAAATAATTGGTTTTTTACAATTGCGCATCTAAATCGCGCACGTTATTTGCGTTTCGCGTTGCAAGTCAAAACTAAAAAACTTTGGTTTAGTACTCGATTTCTGAGAAATTTTTAATAAAAAAATTCTTACATTACATTTAAATGTTAGTGGTAATTTTTGGATTAAACATTTTTCGACCATTATTTAAGTATTTATTAATATTGTTTTACATATTTATATTTTTGTTAGTATTTACTGTTTTATAACATATTTAATATAATATATAGTTGAGTATTTATGTTTGGTATCATATTACTTATTCTCCATTGCATTTATTTTGTAACTGCTATTATGCGCAATAAAGAAATTATTATTATTATTTAAAATAATCTTTACAAATTCAAACCAAAACTTTTTATTTTTAGCAATTGATACATTTATAAAATTTATAAAGTTATAACATTACATTTAAATGTAAGTCGATAATTTTTAAAAACCAATATTTTTTCATTATCAATTTTTTTGAGTTTAAACAAATTTATCTTTTGAAACTACAGTGCGCGTCAAAATTTTAGTGTATTTTGGTAGAAAATGTTTTATGTGTTTTTATGTCTTAACACTATTTTTAAATACTAAAATAATATTGTTTTATAACTGTTAGTTAGTGAATTTTGTCTTTTAATACCTGATAGTTGAAAATATTTTAAATTTATAAATGTAAACCTATTATGAAAAATTTAAAACCAATAAAATTTTTAATTAAAAAGTTATTTAAATTAAAATTTTATTTTAATGAAAGCTGAATTATGGTTACGATGATTACTTTAGCGTATATATTTTTATTTAGCTTGCAAGCATTATAAAAGTTAACTTACATCAATCAATTTTTTTTAGATAAAAGGTTCTTTCACTAGTAAACGAGGACAGGAAAGTTTCAACCCGTACTCGCAAGGAAACGTGTGCTCGAACTGTTTTCATATTTTGTGCGGCCCTTTGACGCCTTCGCTAATCGACAGGTGATGTTTTTATTGTTCCTGTGGGTTTTTTGTGTTATTTTTTATTGTTTTTTAGACGAGGACTTTTGACTGAAAGTTACATGGCCGAACTGGCACGACCTATAACCACAGAACCGGTTTTGCCGATGAAACCGTACCCCATACAAAACATGGTAATGCATTAAGCGGTGTGTCTTAAAAAGTGTTAATGTTAGAATATTTAAATTTGAATATATTGTAGGGTAAAAGCAACTAAACACTCACTCCAAATTTTAATATTCTAACTATTATACTTTTTGAGATATACTATTTACAAAGTTTTATAAAAAAAAAATGTTTTGGAAGCTAATTATTTTCCAAAAACCGCATTAACAAATTTTTTTTTTAGAACGGCCCCACCCACATAACCATGAACGCCAACGAGATGCCCGGCATCTACCGCCAAACGACGGAAACCACCGGTACGTACAACCTCTACCTCCAACAGCAGCAATACGAGGCGGCGAGCTCGAGCCCGTTCAAAAAGCACCGGATAAAACCGTCTCGCGCCCCCCTCGTACCGCCCCCCGACTACCGCCGCGACCCCCCCTCTAACCCCCATCCCCATAAGCCTGTCGCAGCCCCATCTGGGCATACGCAGCCTGAAAGACGTCGAACTGAAAACGCTGGACGTGTACGCGCGGCCTTATACGCCCCCCGAAAAAAGATACGGCGCCAATTTCGGACAGCGGCGCGTTCCTGGAAGGGAAAGACCGCGCAGCAGTTGCGTATACGAGCACGAGGCGGATTTTTGCGCAAACAATTTAAGCAAAGTGAAAAGCGACCGCGGTCTATACACGCCTAACGTTAAACTCCCCAACAACTTCCCCACCCCCGAGTTTAGCAGGCTCTACATCCAAGACCGCTTGCAGTAAAACAAATTCAATTCAAACAGGGCCGGGTTCGGCCTAAATGGGCTTTTCTTCTTCTTAAATCCAAAGACTAAAAATAATTTATAATAACCTTTATCCTACGAAAAATATTGATTGTTTATTATGTCATTTTTGTATTGAAGCTAAATTCAAACAAAATCTGGCAACTATGACAGAATCTAGCGCATTTCTTTCAAATTTTAGGTTATGTGCTCAAATTGTAAGTATCTTAACTAAGGATTTATTTACACAAATTGAGTTTAACCTGTGAAGTTGTCCTAATTTCATCTGAGTAAACAGAAAGAAAAAATTAATTTTGTGGTTATGAAGTTTTCAAAATAGGTACTAAATTTTCTAATTATTGTTTAAGCTAATAGCAGGACGAGTAAATAAATACAAAAGGGTATTAGCTTCAAGGGCATACAACTTTTGTATTTATTGAGTTTTTGTTTATTTTTTGCAAGAATTTTTTTTTTACTTTGCTGGTTGGTATCCATGTACTCACAGAACACAAGTGTGTAACCAGTGTCACAAAAAATATAAATAACTTCTAATGCATATTATTCTTTATCTTTGGGAAAATATATTTTAATATATTACATTAATTACAGTTAATTAATTATTAATTAAGTTGATTTAAGAGTTAAAAATGGTAAAATAAACCAAAAACTACCAAATATTACCTTTCTTTTTACCATAATCGAATTCATTAACCAGTTGTGCTAAAATTTAAAATTAATTCCATTAAGCCTAAATTTAAATGCTAACCCGGCCCTGCAAATAAAGAATGCAGCAGTGATATTCGATCTTCCCTTCCAACGCAATAATTAACGGGTTCAAACTGAAACAAAATATTTATTAAATTAGATCGTCAATATGTGATAGTCAAATATTAGATACCTATACATAAGTTATTACTAATAAATTCACCCTGACATATAAAACAAAACGCTTTTTTCAAGTACCATATTTATTTTTGTTGATTAATTGATTAAGTGTTATTTGATATATTTTGTTTATGAGCATACAAACTCGTTTTTGTTTCCGCATTGCCTTTGCAAAAATTTGGTGGAGGTTTTTCTCTTTGTCTCCCTTTGTCCCTGGTAAGTTTTAATTTAGCTTAGGCATAAAATTGTGAACATTTTTTTTTTTAGTTTTTCGCTTTTACATCCTATTTTGCCCCATTTTTGTTACTGTTAGTCGTTTTTTTCGCCTTTTTTATGTTTGCACACCATCAGTAAAATATTACACTCTATACCCAGACATTTTGTACAGGGTGATACATTATTATTGGGAAAAAAAATCTTATTTTCATGAAACAATTTTATCCTTAATTTTTTCGCAATATCATTGAATCGCCCTGTATATTTATTAAACATAATTTATAATAACAGTTTATTGGTCAAGTTTGACAGCTTGTTCTTTTAAATTAAAAAGACTCAAATTAAGTATTTTTCACTCTACTTTGAATTTGACATTTGTCTGTAAAAATGACAACAATTTTTGTATTTTTTCTGTTTTAAATTTATACACAAAAAATGGATACTGAATTTTAGAAAATAGGACGAAATAATTTTGACAATGACAGAAATTAACCTTAATTATTTCTATCAAAGTCACTTCTCTTTTATTTAGTCTTCTTGCCATAGACTGTGTTTTACTTGTATTCATTGTTAAATGAGTCATAAAAAAAAGAAATCTTTGCTGCAGTATTTCAGATTTTAATTCAACTTTGTGGGAATGTTCTTTAGGGTCAGAAAGATGGAAATCCGCTGTTTTTCGCATGTGCCAGTATTTTTAACTGTAAACATGTTTTTTATTGGAGATATCTATTTGTCTAATACCTATTTTATTTTAAAGCTGAAATATAGTAAAAAATCGAATATATCATACATATGCAATTAATTTTCTTATGATGGGGTAATTTTGTTTATTTTTTTTTCCCTGATAGGTATGTACACTTTATTTCTAAGAAAAAAAATACTTAAATTTCTCAGAAAATTTTATTCTTGATAAATTTGGCAACCTCGCTAAATAGTGCAAGACGACTTACTGAAGGTATCCTGTTGATTTTGAAAAATTCCCAAGTTCTGGGAATTTTCAGAAATTTGGCAAAACCGCAAAAAATAAAATTTTAAAAATCCCAAATGCTGGGAATTTTGGAAATATGGCAACGTTGAAAAACGTATCAAATATACATATAAATTTTTGTTTATTTTCTTTTTGATAAAAATTATAAAAAAAACTAAATCGCGAACTAAACATATATATATTGCCAAATTTATAAAAAAATCCCGACATCTGGGATTTTTAATTTTTTTTTAAATTTGGCAACGTTGCAAAAAATACGTGTGTCAAATAGACATAGACAGTAAATAAATATATGTTTATTTTCTTTTTGATAAAATTATTAAAAAAAACCCAAATAGCAAACTAAACTTATATATGTATATATATTGCCAAATTTACAAAAAAAATCCTGGCATCTGGGATTTTTAAATTTTGTTAAATAAGGCGTTGCCAAATTTCTGAAAATTCCCAGAACTTGGTAATTTTTCAAAATCTTCATTAAGTCGTCTTACACTATTTAGCGGGGTTGCCAAATTTATATAAATCCTGACATATATTTGCGAAGTGTATTTGTGTTTTTTTAAATCACGTTAGCTATATTCTGGGGGTTTAAAATCAAGTAGGAACTTTAATCAAGAATGAAATTTTCTGAGAAATGTTAAATATTTGTTTTCGTCTTCGTAGAAAAAGTCGCGAAAAATCAGTAAAATAAACTTACCTATTTATTGTTATTTTATAATCAATGATAACAAAGTACTTACTAACGATTTTGAATAAGTTTAAAAGTTTGCTTGATATTACCTAATACACTGTGTAATTTTTTTAATTAAAAAACAGTAGATTTAATGCAAAAATCATAAAAGGTGACATCCTGTATCTTTAATGAATCTAAAACAACATTTCATCGTTTGGATCTCAAAAAACATTGCCACAAAGTCAACATCTGCTACCGAATCGTTAATTTTAATTGTGACGCGTTTTAGAGAGCAACGCCGGTAGCGTGACGCACCTGGTGAGCAGCGAGCAGCCGCTGGCTATCGCCTCCACCGTCCACCAGATGTCGCTCGCGCAGCAGCAGCAGTACAAATCGCAGCCGAGCCTCAACCTGGGCCGCGCGCACCACGCGCACCACCACCACTACCACAACGTCACCTCGTCGTCGGCGTCGGCGGCCGGCGGCTCGTCCCCCCCTCCGCCGCCGCGCGTGCACAAGTCCCAGAGCCTGGCCGACAACCTCAACAGCGAGGACCTGCACCTGGACGCGGTGGTGCTCGGCCAGCAGAACAAGTTCGTCGGTAGTTCTAGACTCGACAACGACATGACCGTGCAGGACCGCGAGAACAGTCTGTTGAGTGCGAATCGGCTGCGGCTGCTGCAAGACACCACGATGATCGAGAGCGCCTTGGATCTGGACTCCCTCGACGACTCCAGCCTGGGCACCAACAGCCAAAACGGACTCATGAAAGTGATGGTGTGATTTTGACGACGCTATCGGTGAATAGAAACGGACAATTATCATGGTATGTGATGAACTGAAACGCTTAGTTATTTCGGGCATTTTACATCGTAAATTAATCAAACCATCACTGAACAACTTTATATTTATTATCCTTCATATACATTGTGATACACGCATTAAAACAAACAGATACACATTTCGTGAATTAAATCGATTTCATCACATAACATTTAAGACTAAAAAATATATTTTACCCAGCCAACATTTTTCTAAATATATTTAGTTTGTAAGTTATTACCAGTTTTCGAAAAGTTAGTTTGTTTTTTTATATCCAAAAAAACTAAACTAACTTTTTCCTGACTATAAGTTAAATTTTTATTTGTTAGAGAAGATATTTATTTTTGTAATTAGCTTAAAAGGTCGTCGTTTTTATTTTGTATCAGTACATCAACAACCACTACTACATCATAAATACGGGTATATTTTATACATTTTTTTAACAACGGTTTTGTAATAACTACAACAGTGGAAAAAATAGAGAGCATTTGATTTAAATTCAGTTATTATTATACAAATATTAATGAATGTTGCTGTTATAATGTGTAAGCTTAAGAAAGTTATTATTATTATTGTTGTATGTAAGCTCAAAAGGTATTTTTGCTATACGCTGATATTAAAATATGTATAAAATGACAATATTTCAAGGTGTTGCATTATTTTGTAGATTAGTCGCCAACAGATTTTTTTATATAGAAGTTTATGCATCATGTTAATATAAGCAATATATTGAAAGACTAATGCATAATTATATTTTGTAAATTATACCCAAAGATCACCTTAAAATAGACAGATAAATAGATAGTAAAAGTGAATTTCTCTGTCTATGACAAGGGTTGAGTTTTATTTATTTGAAGTGTGTTTATACGAAAATAAAAAAAAAGATTTAAAAAATTTTGTAACCTGTTACTCTCTGGCCACTAAATGTCCACACAGAAGAAAATCAAATAATTTAAATTTCTCAGAAAATGTAATTCCTGTAAAAGTTTTTGCTCAAGTTCAAACCCCCCAGAATATGCTACACATAATTTTTATTGTTTACTAGCTCGCGTGGTTGTAAGACAAAAACACACACTTCGCAAATACATATATATATATTAATTTGGCAACCCCGCTAAATAGTGACTTACTGAAGGCATCCAGAAGATTTTGAAAATTTCCCATGTTCTGGGAATTTTCCGAAAAATCAGGAAACACCGCACGAGAAAATAAAAAATCCCAGATGCTGGGAATTTTTGAAAATTTGGCAACGTCGCAAATTCGCACAGTGAGACAAATTTAAAAAGTAAAAGAACAAATTCGCAGAGACAAATTTAGAAATGCAAGGACAAATTCGCACAGTGGGACAAACTTAAAAACTGAAACGACAAATTCGCACAGTGGGTCAAATTTAAAAAATGGAAGGAAAAATTCGCACAGTTGGATTAACTTTAAAAATAAAAGAACAAATTCGCACTGTGGGAAAATTCCCAGGTTCAAGGAATTTTTGAAAAATTGGCAAAACCTCACAAAATTAAAAAATCAAAGCTGGAAATTTTTGAAAATTTGGCAATGTCGCAAGAAAAGAAATAAAAATCCCAAATGTTCGGAATTTTTGGAAACTTGGTAACGTCGCAAAAAAGGAAATAAAATCCCAGATCATGGAAAATTTGCAACGTCGCAAAAAAGAAAATTTAAAAAAATCCCAATTTTTGGAAATTTGGCATCGTTGCAAAGAGTTCTATATTGCTCTCTGAAAAGAAGGCCCGTCTAAATCTATTCGGCCGTTTTGGAGATTAGCTCGGGCAAACATTTTAATAATTTGCAATTTTGATTTTTCTGAAAATTTTGTACCGAATTTTTCTTATTAAAATCGTAAAAATGTTTAGTTGCATATTCTAGGGTTTTAAATTCAAGCAAAGACTTTTACCAAGAATGAAATTTTCTGAGAAATTTAAAATAACACAGCCACACAAATTTTTTTTTTTGTTTTGATCTGGGGGTCTGACCATATTTCTTTTATGTTTTTGGGGTCGCTGAATCCGAATCCAAGGTCTATTTAACCCCATCACATCAGGATTTTGACATAACCTCAAAAAATCTATAATTTAAGCTATTAAACGCATATAACCCTAAACATTAAGTTGTTGTCTAAAAACCCAAGCTCCTAAACCCTATAAGCCTAAAACTCACTTAACTCCATAACCCCATGACCCACTTAACCCCATCATCTATTTAAACATATAATCCTTAGGATGAAATTGTGATCTGAAAATCCAAGCTATTAAACCCAATAACCATTTTAACCCCATCCCATAAACCACTTAATCCCATAACCTTGTAACCCATTTAACCCCATCAACATCAATTCCAACAGTTACGTATGTCAGACATTTAGCTTTGAAGAGACTAAAGTTATGCGGTTATTAAAATAACGTACATATTAAGTTAAATATCTGACAAACGTGGTTGATGTACATTGAGTTATGAGGTTAAATGGGTTATGGGGTTATGGAGTAATGTGAGTTATAAAGTTGTGATATTTAAGAGCTTGGATTTTTATATTAAAACCACATTCTCAGGGTTATATATAGTAATAGCTTATATGATGGGTTTTTTTAGGTTATGGTAAAATCCTGATGTGATGGGGTTAAATAGACCTCGGATTCGGCGACCCCAAAAATATATAGAAAATATGGTCAGGCCCCCAGATCAGAACACAATTTTTTTTTTGTGTGGCTGTGTAATTTGTTTATAATATTAAAAGTAAGGTAAGGATCTTAGAGAGAACTTAGAGTTACTCTAAGGTAAGGATTAAATGAATAAAACAAGGGGTATGTATAAAATACTAAACTTTATTTTGTTATAACAATATAATTTTTATTTATATGAATTAGCTTTATGCTTGGGTAGAAAGACAAAGTTTTCGGGAACTTTCCCGAGAAACATTTCACTTAGCTTAATCCAATCACCGGCAGAGGGCGAAGCCATGAGCGTCTCTAGATCGTCGCGCCCTCTATAATACGGCGGTCTATCGTTGATTTTTTGCGGTGGCCGTTCCAGCAACCCCACAGGAACATACCTGTACAAAAAAGACAACCACTCCAACAAAAATCGCCTCGTGTTCTCGACCCCTTTATTGTCCGAACCCCAGTGTTCCAAACCGTAGTTGACGTATTTTTGTATTAAATCGAACCGTTCCCGGCTGGATACGTCGATTAATTTCTGCTCCTTGATCTCCCGAAAAATCCACGGCTTTATCAGCGCCCCCCTGCCGATCATCACCCCCGTCAGTTCTGGGGCCGTCTCGCGCGCCTTTTTGTAGTCGTCGTACGTCAAAATATCCCCGTTGCCTAGCACCGGCATCGGCGCGGCCGCCTTGGCCACCTCGCGGATGTACGACCAATCGGCGGAGCGCGTGTACCGCTGCTCTCTAGATCGGCCGTGTATCGTCATGAGAGTGGCGCCCCAGTCGCGGAACTTGGGCGCCAGGAGGTGCGCGATGCTCTCGTTGCTGTAGACGCCGGTGCGGTTCTTCACCGTCAGAGGGATCGTGAGCGCGTCGCTCATGCTGCGCACGCAGCACTCGAGCACGTTCTGCCGGCGCACCAGCCCGCAGCCGCCCCCCTCCCTGTACACCAGCTCTATCGGGCAGCCCAGGTTCAAGTCGACGAAGTCGATTTCGCACTCTTTTTCCAGCAGCTGGCAGCATTTCGTCAGCACGTACGGGTTGTTGCCGCACAATTGGACCTAAACGAGTTGTATTATAAAATTCCATTGTAAAAAAACTAGGGTTTTAAAGTGTCCACGGCTCCCACAGCTAAATTACAGTTTTTTTTAGGAATTTAAAGAGTTTTTTTTTGAATTAATTAGGAGAGTTTTAGGAGTTTTTTTACCTTGTAATTAAAAACTAAAAAATATAAAACATTTGCATCTTTTTTTGTACAACAAATCTTAAACATATTTTTCACATTATTTAGCACTAAAGTTTAAAAAACTACAAAAGGGTTGCTATGGCAACAAAATAAACAAGGCATCTAGATTGACATATGTGTTTACTTCATAACTTTGTTATTATTAACGAATTTAAACTTTGTATTTTTGAAAGGTATTTGGAAAATTGTTTTTAATTGTATTATATCAATAATTATTTGAAAAAAAAATTAAAATAAAGGAAATAAAATGTCAGAAAAAAATTGTATATGGGGTTCATGAGCCATTTTCGGGATAAATAAATAGAGATGGGAAAATTCCCATTTGACGAAAATTCCCGGAAACTTTCCATCGAAAATTCCCGAAAGTTCAAAAAAAAATTTTTTTATTCCGAAAATATTTTTTTATGCAAAAATATATAACACATTAACTTTTTGTCAAATTTTTGGTTGCATTAACGACATAGATTTTCTTACAGAACTTGCTTTGAGCATGGTCTTTTTTGTTTTTTTGCACTATTTTGTAATAATTCCAAACACTAGATTTTTCTCTTGGCATTGTGTTATGCCTATAAATAAACAACAAAAATGTAAGAATGATTTTAACTTTGTTTATTGTTTTTATTTTCTTTACCTTCTTCTAAAAAAGTTTTTTGTGTTGATGCTGAATAATCCGGCTTCATTGAGATTATGTAACATAACTTACATTATTTATACTTCTTCTGCTTTAAATTAACACAAATTAAATTCTTATTCAAAGTTTCTTGGCCTTGTATCATGGCCTTAACGAAAATCAGCGGTTAAAAAATTGACATTTAAATAAAAAAAACAAGGAAAGTTTCCAAGGAATGTTTCCGGTAGCTTAAAAGAAACTTTCAAAATGAAAATAAATTCCCAATTGAAAACTTTCCAAAACGGAAAGTTTCCTTAAAATGGAAACTTTCCGATTCCCATCTCTATAAATAAATAACCAATAAAATCTGGTAATTTTTGTTAAATTCTAGTGACCATATAACAAAAAACGTCAAAATTTGGTGATTTTTTTTTGTCAGATTTGACATAAAAACCAAGAGTACTTGATAAAAACTGAAAATTCTGAAAAGTTAACTGTCAAAACTTGTTCTATGAATTAAACTGTCACATTTAACAGATCATATCAATCTGACTGTTGTAAACTGTCAGATTTGAAATTAAAACTGCCAATTCAATATTTAATTTTCTTACCCCAAAAATATCCTCAGTGTGGTGTCTTTTGACCAAGGCCCATTCTTGGGGGGCCCCTTGCAACAAAGAAGTGCACATGGCCATTTCCCCGCAAGTAACATCAGCCCCATACTCCTTGCAAATTCTCCTGAAAGGCAAATTTCCCACTGTGGTTAGAGGACTCAAAACCAACTTATCGGTCCAGTCAATTTTCTTCTTTTCTCGGCTCAATATTTTAACAACGTCCTCGTCCGTCACAGACCCACTGGTTTTTTTGGGTTCTGCTTTGGGATTTCCGCTTTTTTCCGCTCTACGTTTGTCGTTGTTTCTGATTAGAGCTTCAGATAAATCAAAGTTGTATTGCCTCTTTCTCAGGGAAATTTGAAGATCATAGCTTAGTTGGTTTTTGGTTTTCAGCCCTTTTTCTTTGTGTAATTCCACTTTTTCGTTGTCTACAACGTTTTTACCGTCGCTTGAGATGTGCACAGAGCCAAATCTACAAGTTAAACCTCTGATACATCTCCCTGTTGTCTCGAAATTGTAACAAGTACTCGCTAAAACATTTTCAATAATTTTATTGTTTTAACATTGTATAATTTAAACCTATATCGTCCAGTTTAACCTTCAAATATTCCTCAACACTATGCAAGAACTGACAATTTTTTCTCTCGCACTTTGGGGCTTCTTCATCAACCGCAATATCAGAATAACAATTACACAATTCAACCTCTTTATTACGCACAAAAGTAGGCCCTCGCGACTTATTCTGCCCTTTTAGCTTCTTTTTTTCGCTCTTGCTTAATTTCTGCCTTTTAGCCGGCTGTTCTTCGCTCTTTTCATCTTCATTTTGCAACTTGGTTTTGTCCTTCTCCGATACACACTCCAAAATGATTTGTCTCTCTTGATCCGGCAAAATGTACCTAAATTCATTTAAAATTAACATTTTAAGTGTTAATTTGTTTGTAACTTACTCTGCTTTTATTTCACAGACACCTGAATCGCTCATTTTATTTACCGCGAGTTTATAGGTTAGAAATTTGAATTTAAGGTTATGAATGCAGTGTTACCAACAAAGAACTTTGATTACCAACGCACAGTCACATTCCAAACATTGTGGATTGTGCGCACCAGAGATAAAGAAGGTGCGCACAGAATAGAAAATCCTGTATTTAGTTGTCATTGAAACAAAATTGCTTTAAATTGGATTTTATTTTAACGTTTTTATAAAATTAACAAAATATTTTTTTAATAATACACTTATATCTACTTGGATAAAAAATAAAGAGATTCTTAATATATAAATCCATTTTTATCAATTTTTGTTACATCAATAATTGGATCTTCTTTTTCTTCTTGAACAAAACGTTTATTATTTCTAACTTGGATTGTTATTGATTTTGGAGAAGAAATGGTGCAATTTTGATTTTTAACCAATTGAACAGTATTTTGACCAAAATTTGGATCATAATTTATAGTATTAATCTTTTCATAATTACTATAGTTTTGATTAAAATTTTGTTTTTGATCATTGTTCTTCTGATAATTTGTATTGATAAAGTTGTTTTGGTTTCTTTGGGGAACAAAAGTCTCTTCTGGTTTTTTTAATTCCTGCAATAACTTTTTCTTTTTTTGCTGATATGTTGCAATATGTTGCTTCAATTTTTTTTGCTCTTCAATAAGACATCTAAGATCTTCCGACTAAAATACAAAAAGATTTATTTATTTAACAATAAAAAAATTATCACCATAAAACCTTATTAGAATCAGAAGTATTAGAATTATTCCCAGTTTGGTCCAAATACGGGTTATTTCCTTTAATTTCCTTGTTTTTATTCAAAATTGAATTAGATCTTTGATTTACCATCTAAAATGGCAATTGTTAATAAAACTGTCAAATTTGACAAGCAATCTTTCAAATATGACAGTTAAATTTGTCATTATAACCTTAAAAAGGTTTTTAAGGTTATGAAATGAAAATTTTACTGTCAAAACTTACTTGAGTGTTATTTAACTCAAAACTTGGAAAAGAACTACCACCATGGTAGTTACCAGATATGGGTATATATTGAAATGTGGGGACAAAAACAGTTCCTGGCACAACACCAGATGCCCATGGTTGTACAACACCAGGTGCCCATGGTTGTACCATCTTATTACTATTGTTACTTTTGAACCTCTTTTGGTGGTTAAAACGTTTAGGTTGGGTCCGATTGAAATTGAACCTTTTTTTTTGTGGTCTATAGTTCCCTTGGAATTGGTTCTGAGGTTGTTTTTCCACAATTTTTGGTGTTTCTGCTTCTTTATTGGTTTCTTTAGGTTTAGATTCAATTTGATTCAAATTTTCTTCGATGGTAACATTTGGATCTAAATCCAAAAAATCTTCAAGTTCACTTTCCAAAAGTTTTTCTTCGGTGACTGAATCTACTTCAAAGTCATAATCAGATGAATCGCTAAAAAAAAGGTCAGCAAATTTTTTGTTAAATTAGCATTAATAATAATTTGATAAGTTGATACCTAATTTTAGGTTTTTGTATTTTGTGCAGTTTTTATAACTGTCCTTGAGGTCATGAATAAATAAATAAATAACATACCTGTCCATCATTATGTAAATGTAAAATAGTAATTATTTTACTGTTTTAATTATTGTTATCTTTCTATTCCTTCAAAACGTATTACGGAGTTTTATAAACAAACATAATAAATAATAGCACTATCGTGAGACAATAGCAGAGATAAGAATAGTTTATCTGATGCACATGTGCATGTATGCGATTTTAGGGACTTTTTATTTTAATTTGTTGGCAGTATTTATACAAGTTTTCATCACAAAACTAGTTTTGTGGTTTTCATGTATTAATCTGAAGTAATGAAAAAAACAACATACAATTTACGAATTTAATTAATGATTTTAATTTTACTCAATAAATTTTGGAATTATGTAATATATTATAAAACAATAAAAACAGAATATCCCTAGAATCTTCTACCAACATCAAGAAGCAAACTTCCCCAGGTCACTTTTTCTAGCCGACGAGAAAAAGCAATTTGGTAAATTCCTTATTACTCTCAAACACACCGAGAACGCAAAAACACGTAAGTTAAAGAATTATCGTGCTCTAAAATAAGACATCGCTGTAAAATTAAAATCGACGTTTCAATTATTATGTAATATTGAGGTTATGTAAATTTTTAGAAAAATGGCTTTAAGATCCGTAACCAGGCTTTTCTCTCGCCGTGCTTTAAGCACTACCACTGTTCGCGGTTATTCCGACGAAATGAGCTTCACTTTGGCCTCCGGCAACCAGGTAATTATAAAAAAACGCAAATTTTATATAGGTATATTGGATTTATTATTAGGTGTTCTACGATGCCAAATCAGTTAAGCAAGTCGACGTGCCGTCTTTCTCCGGCAGTTTTGGTATTTTACCCAAACATGTACCCACTCTGGCTGTATTGAAACCAGGAGTAGTTTCTGTTATCGAAGATAGTGGTAATGTTAAAAAAATATTCGTTTCCAGTGGTACAGTCACAATCAACGAAGATTCGTCCGTACAAGTACGTTTTTAGTGGATTTTGGGAAATATTTTGTGATTTTAACATTTTTTTTAGATTTTGGCAGAAGAAGCCCATCCTGTGGAAAGTTTGGACCGTTCTGCTGCCCAGGAGGTTTTAAGTAAAGCTCAGAGCTCTATGTCGTCTGCCTCCACAGAACAAGTAATAAAATAACAAAATTTAATGATGAAATAAATTATTTTATTTTTTTTAGGCTCGTGCTGAAGCTGCCATTGCTATTGAAGTAGGTGAAGCTCTTGTCAAAGCTGTTGAATAAATTTCGTTAAATTAATAAATTAAGAAAAAACCTAGTAATAAATAGAATTTTATTTACTCTCTTCATTGTTTTAATGCTAATAAAAATATAAACATTTAATAAACAACACAGATATAAATTTATTTAAAAAAATTAACATCCTTCAACTCAGGGGGCATAAAGGTGAATTCAGCTCCATCTTCAAGTTCTCCATAACCTAAAATAAACTTACTATGTAGATTAACACAATTAAAACAACAAAATCATACCTAAATCCTTCATCAACTTTGTGGGGGCATTTCTGATTTGCATGGGGACGTTTGGTTGCGGTCCTTGGCAATTTTTTATCAAATTTTTAGCGGCGGCCAGCGCACTATCCGCCTCGCGACTTTTTGGCGCCCGCGCCAAGTAGATGGCGCACTGCGCCAACAGGCAGTCGGCTTCCGGCATGCCGATCATCTGGCAACCCTGCATCGCGGCTATGGCCAGTGGCAGCGCGTGGGGGTCGGCGTTACCTAAAATGCATTGCACCTTGAGATTTATAAGGCACAAAAGATAGTTTTGTGTCTTATAAACCAATTGTTTGTTTATTGGCGCATCGTGTTCGGTACGCTATTGGTCAAACTTTCGAAGCCACGCCTCTTATCGCCGATCGACCAATAGCACGTGGATTTGTTGTGTTCTAGGGAGATGCTGAAGAAGCATCGCTTTTTTTGTAAAGTATATCGAAATTGGGGGTGACAAAAACATAATTACTGTGAAAGTTAATAATATTAATATTAAGAGGTCTATCATCGCAATTTTAAATTTTTTTTCTAAGCGAGTTTTTGTCTCAGAACTCCCAAACCATTTAGTTTAACAAAATTGACTTAAGAATATTTGTTGAAGAAAATTGAATGCTCTACAAAAAAGGTTAAAATGAAATTTTCCGTCAGATGAACCGTTTCCTTACAATCATGCCTTAAAAATTGGTATAGTTTTACAATTTGATCTTTTAACTTTGGAATTGTGTAATTCATGTAAAAATCAGTACCCGGGAAAAAACCGAAAAATATTCTTATGGGAAATCAAATGCTCTACAAAAAAAGTCTCTTAACATTTTTGGCACTTCAAAAGTTATTCAAGGTTAAAGTTGAAGTCAAAACGAAATTCTTGTTTTTTTCCGCTGTAGATTTATTTTGTCGTTTAAAATGCAGTTGTCTGTTTTTTTAGAGGACTCAAATATAAAAATATTCGATTTTGTGGTTAGGTTTTTACAACAATTATTTTTTGTTCGATTTCTTAAAAATGTCGTAACTTTTATATAAATTATCATTAGTTAATTCTGCTCCAACGAATATACGTACCGAATTGGATCCTTTGGCAAAACATGAAAATGCACGATTTTTTTGTGAAAAAATTACTTATTTATTTAAAACACCACCAGATGGCGCGCGCGTTGCGAAAACCCGATGCTTCTTTAGCGTATATTATAATAGTAATTCGTGATAGTACTAAATAAATACCTACCTATATCTTCACTGGCTGCCCTAACTAATCTTCTGGCAATATACATGGGGTCCTCTCCACTGACCATCATTCTTGTGGTCCAGTATAGAGCCGCATTTTCGTCGGACCCCCGTATAGACTTGTGCATGGCTGATATTAGGTTGTAATGCTCCTCTCCAGCTCTATCATAGAGCATGTGAGACTTCTACAATTTTTTGTACAGGGGAATGTTTGATCCTTGCTGAAAAACTTACCTTAACTTGCTCCTTGACATCATCCAACTTTATAACTTTACCTTTTTCATCGCAGTGCTGAAAAATAACTTGCAGATTACTCAGAGCTATTCTGGCATCCCCATCGCTGATATCACACAACCATTGCAGTGCCTCTTCTTCTATGGCAGTCCTTGTATCATCATTTATAATTCCACAGGGGTTATTTCCATCGACAACGTCAATATCCAAAGCCTCTGTCGCCTTACTCAGAATGGAGAACAAAGACTCACAATCCAATTTCTCCATAACAATCACTCTACATCGACTCAATAGAGCATTATTCAAACTAAACGAGGGATTCTCTGTTGTAGCCCCAATCAAGGTGATTTCCCCCTTTTCCACACTCAACAAAAACGTGTCCTGTTGTTTCTTGTTAAACCTGTGTATTTCATCCATGAACAAAATCATTTTCTTACCAAACTTCATGTCGGTTTTTGCCTCTGATATAACAGTTCTTACATTTTTTACACCATCATCTGTAGCACTAAGTGCTTTAAATCTGTACTGCTTTGGGTTTTTCTTGCATATCTCATGTATAACATTGGATAATGATGTTTTTCCACAACCTGGTGGACCCCATAGTATCATATTAGGTATCTCACCTTTCCCCAATAAACCCCTCAGGACAGTATCTTTCCCCAACGCCTTAATCTGCCCGAAAAAGTCGTCCAAACTCTTTGGTTGCATTTGTTTGGCCAGAGGTACACTGAACGATAATTTTTTCTTATTACTACCATTCTCTTTCTCTACAACAATTGTTTCTTCCACAATTTTCCTACTACTACTCGGCCTATTCCTCTGAAAAATGGGCGCCAATATTTTCTGCTTTTCCGCATCTCTGGGACTTTTGTGTTTGAACTGAAACTTCGGCTTTGCGTGCGATTTTGAGGGCGACGGTTCGCGTTTTCGCTTCGTGATTTCGTTGTCGTCCGTGTTAAAGAATATGCAGGCGTCGACATGCTCGACCAGCTCTTTAATCGGCAAAGATTTGCTGCAAATCGGACACAAACCGATTTTGTTTTCTTCTGCCATATTAACATAACCTCTAAAACAAATTTTGAAAGACGCGCTTGTCAGAGACCTCTACAGTACAACCAGATAACTATATAGTTCGTTAGAGTATGAATAGATGGCGGTGTTTATTTTGTTAAAAAGCAGAATACTTTTTCGACAAAACGTAAAAATAAAATAATAGAATTATCCAAATTACAGATGGCGAAATATTTAACATATTTTACAGAAACCTGTATAATACTACTGTTACTCCGTTAAATAGTTCATAGATGGCGTGGTTGATGTTATAGTGACTTTTGTAATTTTGCCGGTAAAACAGTTGTTGTTTTTATCATTGTCAAACAAATTTAAGATGACTTCTATTTTGTGCCCTGAAATTCCAAAACCCGGCTTTTCTTTCGATAATTGTCAAAGGTAAGCCAAAACAATTATTTTGTGCGCCATTTAAGGTTACAATTTGTGTAAATAAACGCGTAGTAGGTATCAAAAGTAGAATAAATGCAATGTCATCAACATAACCTAAACGATGTTGTTTTAGAAATGCCACTCTTGAAAGTAAGGGGTTTGCTGTACCAAAGGCGACAAAAACGGGAACAACAATTGTGGGTATTATTTACAAAGATGGGGTGATTCTTGGGGCAGATACCAGGGCCACTGAAGACACCACAGTTGCTGACAAGAACTGCGAGAAAATTCACTTCTTGGCCCCCAACATGTATTGTTGTGGTGCCGGTACAGCCGCCGACACGGAAATGACCACGCAAATGATTTCGTCGAAGCTGGAACTGCACCGTTTGTTCACAAACCGCGTTGTGAGAGTTTGCACTGCAAATCAAATGCTCAAGCAGTATTTGTTCGGCTACCAGGGCTACATCGGGGCTGCTTTAATCCTGGGCGGCGTGGATTCCACCGGGCCCCATTTATACAGCATCTACCCGCACGGTTCCACGGATAAACTGCCCTACACCACCATGGGGTCAGGTTCTTTAGCAGCCATGGCTATTTTCGAGTCCCGTTGGAAGCCCGACTTGACCGAGGAGGAGGGGATTCAGTTGATTAGGGACGCTATCGCCGCGGGTATTTTCAACGATTTGGGGTCAGGTTCGAACGTGGATGTGTGCGTTATTCGTAAAGGGTCTGTTGATTATAAAAGGACCTATGATGAGGCTAATAAAAAGGGGGTCAGGCAGGCTTCTTACAGATACCCCAGGGGTACAACTAAAGTTTTGGACACCAAGGTTTTCACTGTTGAGGAAACAGTCCATCAATTGGAGACAGAGAGTATGGATACTGCTTAGTTTTTGTTCTTTTTTTTTCTTATAATTTAATGAAATACTTTGTAATTCTTGCATAATAAATTTATTATAAAAAATGTTTTTTGTTTACTTGAACATGAAACTACATAAATTTGGCTGACTTTGAAATTAATGCAAATAAATTATCATTAAAATATTGGTACCATAGTGTGTATAATTTTTCATTTGTTTTTACTCATGTCAAATTTGTTTTTACTCAAATGCCAAATTTCTGTCAACTTTAACTGACAGTTAGTTTCTAGGTTATGTTGTTATTTTTTTGACAAAACAATGAATTTGAACGTTAATTTACAAAATAAGGACGCAATTTGTATTTTTTTATTACTATAACTTAATGAAATACTTCTGTAATTCTTGCAAATAATAGTATATTAAAGAACTAATGTCATAAGACGTCATTTTGTCGCACGCGGACAATTTATAAAACGAGCGACGAAGGAGCGAGTTTTATAATGGACAAGTGCGACAAAAGGTCTTATGACATGAGTTCTTTATGCTATTTTATCTATTTTGCAAACATTTCATAAAACAAATTAATTTTATACCTTATATTTAATTTGGTCGAATTTTACTTTACATAGTTGGTATCTCAGTTTGAAGTTTGAAAGGTCATTAACCTTTCAAACATTATCACATTCTTTCGCTATGGCGTCGTTAATTTACAATAAGTATTTACAATAAGCGGCTGTTAAAGAAGAAAAAAGGATTTTCTTTGGTGTTAAACAAAATTTATTGCACGAAAAGTCTCGTACTATAAAACAAATCATAAAAATATTATAACCTATAGGTATTCAATATTTTATTTTACTAGTAGCCAACCTATAAAATCAAAATTTTGGGTGGAATAAAGTACCTCATTAAAGAACCAAAAGCGGTGTTATAATGAAGTCATTATGAACGCGAAATAGATAAATTATCATTAAAATATTAGTACCATAGTGTGCGCATAATTTCTCATTTGTTTTTACTCGAAACTGTCAAATTTCTGTCAACTTGAACTGACAGTTAATTTATAGGATATGTTGGATATGCCAAAACAATGTTAATTTGCAAAATAGATGCAATTTTTAGGTTTTATTATAATTTAATAAAATACTTAATTTTTGCATAATTAATTTATTATAAAATGTTTTTTGTTTAGATGCAATAAAATATATCAATATAAAATTTGTTGAGAGTATTAACAGTATACAGCCAAATATTGGCACATTTTTACATAACTAATTCAAAAACAAGTCAAAAAATAAATGGGTTGGAATTTTAAATTAAATTTATTTCAGTCTGTTAATTCTTGTGAACGATAAAGTCCCAAGTGTCCCTCCACCGCAGATCTAAAATATCATCGGTCGTCAAACTGGTGCTTCCGTAGCTTAAAACCGTAAATTTCTTGAAAACATAAAAAACCACCATCAACCACAGTAAAACGCTGAAAATCAACGCTTTCGACAAGACTTTAAACTCGAGAACATCGTTGAAAACAACGTACAAATGTTCGAAAACGGCGGCCAATAGCAGCGTTTTAAAAGTGAACGCTGGCAAGTAGTGGTGCAAAAATAAAGTGCGTTCCACGAAAAAATACGGGAGGAAGTGTATTAGATACCCAGTCAAGAAAACTTCCCCAATAAGTCGGAAAGTCTGCCACTTTTTTTCATCCAAATCGTAGCACTCCCGTCTTCTACGAAGCATATAAAAAACCAACACTCCGCAGTACGCCAAAAGTCCAAAAGTAGCGGAAAACCACAGTACAACATTCCCCAACAAATGAATTTGAGCCTGAAACACAATTAAAAACTTTGAGGTTAAAGGAAACTTGGCAACAATGCAAAAACTTACATTACTGTTGGATGAGACCCAGTACGCAATTCCACGGCTCATCAAAGGCCATTCCAAAGGTTCCGAACTGTACATATGGTTTTGTACACTTTCTGTACCGGAAAACATCATTTTATAATGCAATTCGAAAAACTTCTCCCAAAACGACAAAGAAGTAGCGGAAGTTGGTATCATTTCCGCTGTCACTAACTCCCGTTCGCGCTCTTTTTGATCATCGGCTAAAAAATGACGTTTAGATCGTGGTACAAGAAAACAAAGTACAAGAAAACAAGGTCAAGTGAAAATCTGTAAAAACAATGCTAAAAGAAAAAAACCTGTAAATTTCCTTAATATGGGCTTGAATAAAAATATAACAAAAAAGAACATTGACATTCTAGAATGTCAAAAACCAGTTAAAAATATTGAAAAAACTATTTAAAAATATATGTACCTATATGCCCAGAAATTAAAAATCTTAAAAAAACATTTAGAATTTTAAAAATAAATTTGAGAATGTTCTAAAATGCACTAGTTTGTCACTAAATTCTGTGGGTAAAAGGCATAAGGGGATAAGTCAAAAAAAGGAATTTTTCAATAGAGCCTTTAACGTGATCGCATTAATTCAGGAAATATATTTATGTTTAGCGGGTATACGCTTTTGTTAGCATATAAAATGTGGTAACAAAATGTATACCCGCTAACCATAAATATGTTTCCTGAATTAATGCGAATACGTTTAAGGCTCTACTGAAAAATTGCTTTTTTTGACTTATCCCCTTATGCCTTTTACCCACAGAATTGTCAACATTATTTTGACACGAATGTCAACCATCGAAAGTGGTTAAATTTAAAGTTATTTCTGACAGCTATTATTTAAGAATGTCAAAAATATTTAGAAACACATTTTAAGATGTTTAAAAATACACCAAAAAAGAAAATTTAGAACTTTTATCACATTCTAGAATGTCAAAACCCAGTTAAAAATATTGAAAAACATATACATAGAATCTTAAAAATAAATTTGAGAATGTTCTAAAATGCACTAATTTGTCAAAATTATTTTGACACGAATGTCAAAAATATATTATTATAAAATATATACATTCTAAAATGTTTAAAAATATACCAAAAAAAAAAATTAAGAATTTTTATATTTTAGAATGTCAAAAACCAGTTAAAAATATTTAAAAAAACTATTTAGAAATATAATGCCCAGAAATTAAAAATATCAAAAAAACATCTAGAATCTTAAAAATATATTTGAGAAAGTTCTAAAATGCACTAGTTTGTCACTAAATTGTCAAAATAAATTTGACACGAACGTCAAATATATTTAGAACCACATTATAAAATGTTTAAAAATATACCAAAAAAGAAAATTTAGAATTTTTATATTTTAGAATGTCAAAAACCAGTCAAAAATATTTTAAAAAACTATTTAGAAATATAATGCCCAAAAATTAAAAATATTAAAATACATCAAGAATCTTAAAAATAATCGTAAGAATGTTCTAAAATGCACTAATTTGTCACTAAAATGTCAAAATTATTTTGTAAATGTCAACCATTGACAGTAGTCAAATTTAAAGTTATTTCTGTGACTTAAATAGTTTTTCATGTGTGATCTTCAAATTATTTAGTTTAATCTAAAAATCGAATAGGTAATTTAATAGAAATTTGGATAAATTTCATATTTAAATTCAAACCTTGTTTTCTTGCAAGGATTTTGGTTTTCTTGTACCAGATAACATAACCTTCAAATTCTGACATTTAAACTTCGCGGTTGCCAAACTTACATTTCGTGTATCTGTGCTCTTCGACGTTCCAAACGGTGTCGTCCTGATTCAGGATCCTGTCGGCGGCCACCTCGTGCTGGTGGAAGCCCCAGTCCGGCATCTGCCTGCCGGTGAATTTGAGCGCCGTGTTGCTGTCCACGTGTACCAACCTGACCAAGGATTGGATCGTCTGCCAACTGTCGCCGGTCTGCTCCCTGTTCAGGATTTCCACGCGCCACTTGTTCTGCGCCGTCATCGATATGTTGTAGTCGATGTAGCAGGAGACTTCCTGGCACTGAGGGGACATGGGGGCCGCTACGTCGTGGGAGTTTAGCGCCCTGCTTGTGATGCCTAAATAAAAAATAAGTCAATAATTGGGTAAAGATAATTTAGTATGTAACATTCCAGAATCATTGTTAACAACGAGTTTAGAATGTCGAAAACATTGAAGAATGTCAAAAAACACATTCTATAATGGCAAAAACACATTTAAAAATATTTTAAAACCTAATTTAAAATGTTAAAAAAATAATCCCAAAAAAAAAATTAGAATAAAAAATTAAATTCTAGAATTACACTGTGCAACACAAAAAATGAACTGGGATCAAATCTGAAAAAATCGAATCTAGGCAACCCCCAAAACAAATCCTTTAAGGGGTTTTACCAGTTTAGCTCGAATAATGGAGATATACAGGGTGTTTCTTTTAACTTAAGACAGCTCAATATCTCGAGAAATACGCATTTCACGGAAAAATGTCTTAAATAAAAGGTTAATGTGACTAAAGGGGACATTATTTGGTGCTATCGCTAGCCACCCCCTACCCCTCCTTAAGGGTGAAACGGGGGGTAACTTTGGAAAGTCAAATGGAATGCGATACCGCCCGACATGTTGGCGCGTTGTGTGCCAGAATTCATTACCCGCATTCAAAAATGTGTTGAAATGGAAGGACGACATTTCGAACATTTGTTATAAATTGTTTTCAGAGCCGACTATTGTTGATTTAATGTTAATTTTTGTTTTTCAAACGTTTCAAATAATACATTTTACAAGGAAACCCCTTTTTCTTAAATTTTGAATTACAGCGCCATCTGTTGATAAATTGAAAAAAACTTTCAAATAAAAGTTATTCATTTTTTTATGTACTACCAAACTCTGTGAAAATCGGGTCATTCCATTTGATTTTCCAAAGTTTCACCCTTAAGGAGGGGTAGGGGGTGGCTAGCGGTAGCACCAAATAATGTCCCCTTTGGTCACATTAACCTTTTATTTAAGACATTTTTCCGTGAAATGCGTATTTCTTGAGATATTGAGCTGTCTCAAGTTAAAAGAAACACCCTGTATATTTCCATTATTCGAGCTAAACTAGCAAAACCCCTTTAAAGATTAGTTTTGGGGGTTGCATAGATTCGATTTTTCCACATTTCATCCCAGTTCAAATTGTAAGGTCAAAATTTGTCGCACAGTGTTATTGTTAACCACTAATTTAGAATGTCGAAAACATTCAAGAATGTCAAAAAACACATTCTATAATGGCAAAAACACATTTAAAAACACAATTTAAGATGTTTATAAAAATTTAGAATAAAAAATAATTCTAGAATGTCAAGGAACCAGTTAAAAACATTAAAAAAAACTATTTAGAAATATAATGCCCAGAAATTAAAAATATAAAATACATCTGGAATCTTAAAAATAAATTTGAGAATGTTCTAAAACGCACTAATTTGTCAAAATTATTTTGACACAAATGTCAACCATCGACAGTAGTCAAATTTAAGGTTATTTTTGACAGCTATTATCTAAGAATGTCAAAAAACACATGCTATAGAATGACAAAAATATCACATTTAAAAATGTTAAAAATAGCAAAAAAATTAAATTTATAATGTAAAAATCACATTCTAGAATGTCAAAAACCAGTTGAAAATTAAAAAAAATATCTAGAACCTTAAACATAAATTTGAGAGTGTTCTATAGAACATTATGTAAAAAACACTTGCATTATACAGGGTGTCCCACAATTAGTGCGACAAAATGAAGGTGTATTATCTACAGATCCCCAGGAATTCCAGAAAATTGTTTAAAAAATTCTTCCTTCATTATTTAAAAAGATACAGGGGAGTCATATTTTCTTTATATGGCAACATTGCCTCAAAAAAAGGGGATAGTTTAATTCTTAATCATCATGTTAACATTGTTGTTTGTTGTCATGATGATTAAAAATTAAACTATTACTTTGTTATGTTGCCATACAAAGAAAACATGACTCCCCTGTATCTTTTTAAATAATGAAGGAAAAATTTGTTAAACAATTTTCTGAAATTCCTGGGGGTCTGTAGATAATACACCTTTATTTTGTCGCACTAATTGTGGGACACCCTGTAGAATGCCAAAAATACTTGGACACAATTTAAAATGTTAAAAAAATATACCAAAAAAGGAAATGTAAAAATCAGATTCTAGAATGTCAAAAACAAGTTAAAAATTAAAAAAATCTATTTAGAAATATATACCCAGAAATTAAAATCATAAAAAATACATCTGGAATCTTAAAAATAAATTTGAGAATGTTCTAAAACGCACTAATTTGTCAAAATTATTTTGACACAAATGTCAACTATCGACAGTAGTAAAATTTAAGGTTATTTTTGACAGCTATTATCTAAAAATGTCAAAAAACACATGCTATAGAATGCCAAAAATATTTAGACACATTTTAAAATGTTTAAAAAATACCAAAAAAGGAAATGTAAAAATCAGATTCTAGAATGTCAAAAACCAGTTAAAAATAAAAAAAAATCTATGTAGAAATATAATGCCCAGAAATTAAAAATATAAAAAATACATCTAGAATCTAATAAATTTGAGAATGTTTTAAAATGCACTAATTTGTCAAAATTATTTTGACACAAATGTCAACCATCGACAGTAGTCAAATTTAAAGTTATTTTTGACAGCTAATATTTAATAATGTCAAAAATATTTAGAAACACATTCTAAAATGTCATTAACCCGTTAAAAATAACTAAAATAAAACTATTTAGAAATATATGGCCCAGAAATTAAAAATATTAAGAAAACAACTAGAATCTTAAAATTAAACTTGTCACTAAATTGTCAAAATTATTTTGACACAAATGTCAACCATTGACAGTCAAATTTAAGGTTATTTCTGACAGCTGTCAAAACAGTAAACTTACCGTGCACCAGTTGAATGACATCCCCGTGCTTGATGGAATCCACAGGTTCTTCGACGACCAAATCGTTTTTCTCCGGCCTCTTGACGATCCACCAGTTGTTGACGTCCTTGAAGGAGTAGCACGTGACCTGCTGCTGGTGGCTGGAGCCCCTTTTATCGGGGTACCGCACCGGGTACACCGCGTTGTGAGAGTGCAGCCAGCAGGTCCTCCCGTGCGAGTGCCGCAAGGTTATCTGCGACCCGTGGGAGATGTGCAGAGGTTGCCCCTTAGTAATGCTTGCCAAACCTCCCTCTAAAGAGGCTTGAAACGCGCTGGTCATAATGCTATCGTGGGGGCCCGCTTTGTACAGCACTTTCAAGTGCACGTAAAACACCCCCAGGTAAACCAAGGAAGACACCAGAACTGTCACTAAAACTTGCGTAAAAAACCGTACGAACAACGATCTATCAGAGATTTTTTTCGACGACAATAACCTCCAAAAATCCCCACCCAAAATAACAACCCCCAAAAGACACGAGTAAAAACCAACATACTTCACACACAAAGCAAAAGTCAGAGAAACACTGGCCAAAATCAACCACAAAAACCAAAAACCCCCAAACGGGTTTTTGTAGTGTTTCCTGAACTTCAAAACGCACAGTATCCCAAATAAAGCAAAAAACACCAGCATACTCTCCATCAGAATAAACCTACTCTGTGTCAACAGAGCATTGTCAAATAAAATCAACAAAGCCGCCAATAGTGAAGTCCACTGACTTAAACCCAACTCAATACACAAATGATACACCACAGGTATTATTAGTGACCCAAAAAATGCCGGAACAATCCTCAAAGCCCACAATGGCACTTCATCGGAGTAAGGACTCCCAATTTTGTCAAACTTGAATTTCCCATCAAAACCTGCCAAGTAGGCTGCCCCAGCTATCAATTGTTTCCCCAGTGGCGGATGAGAATCAAAGAAAAACGTGTTCTTCATATACAAAGACACATATTTTCCATAGTGTAATTCATCAAAACTAAAATAAATATATTGTTAATTTATTAATAATTAATTTCTATTCATACTTACACCACATTCTTTGGCTCTTCTAACTTATAAACCCTTGTGAAAAGTCCGCAAAAAAACAACGTAAATGACAACAAATCCAGCTCAAAGTGTATCCTAAATAATTTCTTGTAGTTATTATCATTTTGCCCCAATTTTGTATCACTTATATTTGTAATTTTCTCCTCTTCAATAAAATCCTCATCCTTCACTTTGCTTTTGTTTTTTCGTTTTCGTACGTCTTCCATTTAACTTCCGTTTCTTTTTTAACTTAACTGACCATCAACATCTTTAATATGCAGATGAATCAGAGGTCACAGGTATAATGCAAGAATAAATAACGGTTTACCGTTACACGTATTCGGATTTTTACCTGGGAAAGTAATTAACGTATTTTCAAATACACAGGGATTATTTTTAAACGCCAGATTAAAATTTTTAAGTGAAAAACATAAATACCTCTTTATTTTGCTGACTTTGTTGAACATATGCTACCAAGAGGTATTTTACGTGTAATAAAAAAAATTAATGCGAATAAATTATCATTAAATTATCAGTACCATAGTGTGCGTATAATTTTTCATTTGTTTTTTTTCGCCTATTTATTTACATTTTTACTCGAAACTGTCAAATTTCTGTCAACTTCAACTGACAGTTAATTTATAGGTTAAGTTCGATTTTGTCCTCGGTGAGAAGCACATCGCTCCTGCATTGCTCCATGAAAAAGTGTGAAAAATAGTTGACTTTGACTCAGGGAAGACAGAATCGGATTCCAGTGCTAGATAATATTCCTCGTTTTGTCCTTTTTAAAAGGAATAGAGGAATTTATATAAAGCTATAAATTTTAAGGTTACATAACCTAATTGTGTCGTCCACGTGTTTAATAGACAACCGTTGTCCAATGGTTTTTGGGTCTTCTGGAACCATTGGACGTTAAAACTTGTACCTGGTTAATAAGGACTTTTGTCCAGGACCAAAAGGGCGGTGGTTGAGCCGTAAGTCCGCCCAAAGTTGAAGAAGAAGAAGAAGAAGAATTTATAGGTTATGTTGTTACTTTTTCGCCAAAACAATGAATTTCAACGTTAATTTGCAAAATAAGGACTCAATTTGTAGGTTTTGCCTTGAAAGTAACGAAAAAGTGGACTTTCCGTTGTTTATAGAGAAGATTGAGACTGACTTCCACGATGTTTTAAAAGCTGTAAATATTATTGTAAGTTTGCCACTTTTTCTACATAAAAACGACTAAAAATACATTTTTTTAGGTGGTGTACAACGAAAATCTGCCCAGCTCGATATGCAATGCCTGCAGAAACGCAATAGAATCATTTCATAAGGTTAAGTCACAAATACACAAAAACGAAGAATTTTTAACAACAATATACACTGTTAAAAATAGTGAAAACGTTAAAACGGAATTAATATACGAAGAGTCGGAATTGTGCTTCTCAGACAATGATGAAGATTACAAGCCTGCTAAAGCCAGGTTAAAAAAACACAGCATTAAATGTGAGTTGTGTAATAAACGTATTGCCAAGGAAAATATAAAAGAACATGAGTTATTGTGTGGGAAGGAGGATGAGGGGAATTTGGTGGAGGAAATTAAGAGTTACACATGTAATATTTGTGGGAATGAGTATGGCACAGAGGTTAGATTATCATTACATTACATTCAGCATGTAATGTATGATAGTGACAAAAAGATTGATTTTTTTCTGTTTTGTAACTACTGCGGCCACATATTGAACAATAAAGATGAATATTTATTGCACATACAAGATTATCATAGAGAAATTAGTGATAAATGGCAATGTAAAGTTTGTGATGTAATTTTTGATACAGAATTCACTTTAATGAAACACATACACCACAGTGATGAATGTAAAATAATAACAACTCACATAAACAGCGCAATATGTTTACTATGCAAAAAGGAAGTATCTGAACCATTGACATACCACATAAAACAGCACTTATTAAAAAGATACACATGCAGAATATGCCAGGAAAAATACATAACCTCCATAGGCTACAACACGCACCTTAAAAAACACTCACAATACAAATACAGTTGTGAGCACTGCTGCAAGGTTTTCATCTCGAAAAAAAACATAGCAAAACACACAAAAGAGATACACAATAGCGACCATTTTGTCTGTGAGGTTTGCTCAAAAGTTTTCACGAGAAAACATAACCTAACCCTGCACAAAAAACACACCCATGATGATAAGTACAAAAACTTTATTTGCTCTATTTGCGCGTACGCAACGAATTCAAACAGTGAACTCAGAAAGCATGAAAGACTTCACTCAAATGAAAGACCTTTTAAATGTACTTTTGATAATTGTAACAAATCCTACAAAACCAGCAGCCATCTAAGTCACCACATAAAAACGCATCTAAACATAAGAAATTTCGTCTGCGAATACTGCGACAAGTCGTTTTACACCTCCAAAAACCTCAAACATCACATTTTATCGCACACTGGAGTGAGGGATTTTAAATGCTCACTGTGCGATCAAACGTTCAAAAGAAGAGACCAACTGACAGCGCACATGAAGAAACGCCACGGTTGTTTTTAGTTTGTACCATAGAAAATAAAAAATAACAATTAGAACGTTTTTTTTATTTACCAGACCACCGTCTCGTCTCGGTACCTTGGTGCGTTCCTATTGGGCGACCTCTTTTATCGTAGGCACCTTGGCGTAGTTTTGAATTCGATGTGGAACTGTCAAAACCCAGCATTTGAGGTTAGGTGCGTTAATTTACTGTAAAATGGAATATAGGATAGTTTTGCCGGAAAGTAAGAACGATATTTGTCGTTTTTGTATGTCCATTAGCGAAAATATGTCGCATACTTTATATAAAGAGCAGGAACACACGAAATTATTCGAAATGTTGTCAATTTTGCAGTTGGATGTAAGTTGTTTATTTCGTGGTTGTTTGGGTTGTTTTGACGTTTTTTTTGCAGATTATTTGCGACGATGTAATGCCGAACAACGTGTGCCTCAGCTGCGAGCAGAAAATCCAGGAAATTCACAGTTTTCGCTACATGATAATAGAAAATGAAAAAATACTGAAATGTGTGTATCAGGAGGGTAAAGATGAGGAATATGTGGTGGAAAATAAAGATAATATAACATTAGAGTCTGAAACAAAGTTGGAAAGTGATAGTGAGTTTGAAAACACCAGGGATGATGAATATTTAGAAGAAATAGATGAGGAGCAAGTAAAGGTAAAAAAAAAGCGTCGGAAATTGCAGCCAGGAGAAAAACCCGTGAATAGAAGCAAGTTAATGCAGTGCGAGACGTGTAACAAAACATTCAGAAGGGATTACTTGCGTAAACACAAGTGTAAAGGTGTGGGGGTTAAGCCAATTTTGAATGAGGAAATAATAGACGACAAAAAAGAACATGTTTGTAATGTGTGCGCGGAAGTTTACGATAGCGAGTTGAGGTGTTTGCTGCATTATATCCAGCACTTTTTGTTTGAAGGTTCGGAGAAAATTGACCCTGTTGTGTACTGTAATTTTTGCGGTTTCGTGTTGCAAACTTTCGAGGAGTATTTATCCCATATTTCCGATAAACACGTGGATTTTTCGTCGATGCCTTGGCCGTGTAAAGTGTGCGAAATTAGTTTCTCTAGTGAGTTTGAGTTGATCAACCATATGCACAATTCGGAGTTTTGCGCCAAAACCTTGAAACCTGTGGATATCTACGGGGAATGTTTGATTTGTAAGAAAGAGTATGAAGGGTCTTTATTGAATCACCTAAAAAAACATTTATTAAAACGGCATAACTGCGCTAAGTGCGGGGACAAGTTCATAATGCTCATGGCGTACAATAACCACCTACTTTTGCACCCCGAATTTAAATACAAGTGCAACTACTGTAGGAGAATGTTTGTCTTAAAGTCAAACATGGAAAAACACATAAAAGAAATGCACCAAGACGAAAAATTCATATGCGAGATCTGCTCGAAGCTTTTCAACCGCAAAAACAACTTGGAAAGCCACATAAAGCAAAAACACGACGAGTCGTGCAAAAAAATAATCTGCCCTCTGTGCGGCTACAGCACCGTTTCGAAACACGATCTAAAACGCCACGAGAGATTCCACACAAACGAAAAACCGTACGTATGCAACTTTGAAGGCTGCACCAAAGCCTACAAAACCAGCAGCGCTTTAAGTCACCACAAAAAAACGCATCTAAACATCAGAAATTACCGATGCGACATCTGCGAGAAGTGCTTTTACACCTCCAACCATCTAAAAGACCACATGTACATACACACGGGTGAGCGGAACTTCACATGCCAAATTTGTGACCGGTCTTTCAAAAGAAAAGACCAATTAACAGCCCACTACAAAATCCACGGCAAAAAAGGCATCGAGCACGAAATCAAAGTCGACACCCAAGAAATTTTTAAAATTGAAAACATTAACAATTTATAATACCCATTTGTGATTTAGTTTATTTTTTATACTTCATTAACTCTATTTATCGAATATTATTCCCACAGACCACCTAAACAAATGGACGGCGCATTGCCATTCAATAACAATGGTTTGTTTGCGGTCAACAAACGGTCACAGTCTAAGCGTTAAATTGGATATAGAATTTTATGTTTTCTTCAAGTGACGTATGATATGTAAACTTGGCTTACTTACCTATGAAAGGATAGATTTGGATTTCTTTGGTTTGTTTTTTTACAAACAGTACACTGTCGCACCATTTTAAGTAAAAAATAATGTATTTAAACTCAATAAAACACGATAGAAATACACAAATGAAAACCACAGATTATAAAACACAAAACAACAAGCTGTCAACCTTTTTCTATGCTGTCAATATGACGAATTTATCAACGTTGTTAATATTTAATTTTAATGATTATTTTCTTTAAATAAAGAAAAATATGTAAAGAAAATGATGAACTAATCCTTTTTACAATTTTTTTATTATTCAAACGAATTACTGGTAATTTTTAATGTTCATTATGTTATGATGAACGTCCAAAAAGGCTTGTAATCTATACTTCTGACAACGTTGGAAGCCTCGTTTCTTTCGACGGTGCACCGCGGTGTTTAGAATGTGAAAGTATGCTATACTCGCTTTTTAAACGTAAACAAATCCGTCCATTTGTTTTGGTGGGCTGTGATTATTCCTAATAAACACATTACAAGACTTCTTAGTGCTTTATTCAACACAAAAATGCAAAATATTGTCATTTTGACAGTTAAACAACCATAACACAACGTTGCCAAATGCACGGTAGTTCAAAGGTACCAAAAGTTTGAGGTTAGGTTTATGAAAACTGCCAAAAGCCCCTGGGATCAAAGAATGCAATTGAAACAGATGTTGCTATTATTTGTTTTTTATTAATTCATAAAACACATCAAAAATTAAATTTTACAGTAAATCTTGTCTTATAATCATAAAAACACCTTAAATTTGGTAAATTTCAAACTTCCCGCCATCGGCATATTGATTTTGTGCAAGAAGCGCGGCATCTCTGTTGCACCGAAGACAAAACACGGCAGTCCAGAGATAAACGGCGGCAGTCGAAATCGAGATGGCGTCGAATGTGCACGCATTTTGACGTTTCCCATAAACAAACGAAACTAGCAGATAAGTTTAAATAATCGCGGGGCATTTCGGCTCAAATTAAGAGAAACCGAGCCGAGTTTGAATATTTTTCGGTGGCTGTGATGGTTTTAAGTGAAATTTGAGGTGAGTTTTTAAAGTTTTTCGGTGCCGGTTTTCGTCAAAATCAAGTGACAAGTTTTACCGTTATGTATTTGTTCAGGTTTTGTCATAACACTCTTGATTTGTGCTTTATTTTGATGGAAACATGTTAAAGGTCGAATCCAGCTTAAAATTATGATAATTATTTCGTCCTTGCTCAGTCAAAGTTCGCGTTTTTGATTGTTGTGATTATATGCTGGATTTTTTATTTTAATTAAAGTAAATGGTTATGTTTTTGTGGAAAATGCAATCTTCTCGGTAATTGGAAAATAAATACACAAGGGAAATCAACGCGAATTTTAAGAAGCTAAATTGTATTAAAAATATTTGTTATTATAAGAGTTTTAAACAAGTTTTTAGCAAATAAAAATACCTACATAAAGGTTTTATTTTATTAAACCACAGCAAAAACAGGTTTAATATTTATTTATGGTTAATTTATTAATCGATAATTTTAACCTATTATTATGTTATGTAAACCGTTTAGAGAATTTGATTTATTGAAATTTTTGCGATAAGAAAATCGCTTTAGGAATTTTCAGGTCCTCTCGAAAAATTGAATTTGTTTTCTTATGAATTTAGTCGGGGAATTTTACAATATTCTATAGAGAAATATGAGAAAATATTCTTTTCAATAAAAATATCTCAGGTAGGTAGTATGTAAAGATTGAACGGGGGTTTTCGGAAAATTTAACATTCTTAGAACTTTCTCAATAGAGATTTTATTTGAACTTCTTTTATTACTAAAATAATTATTAGTCTAAAAAGTTGTTTTTGTAAAGAATATTAATTTTATAACAATAGGACACCCAGAATATTTTTTAGATACCTACCAGAGCTGCAACAAGTCAGTTTTAAAAAGACTTAAATCTTAAGTCTTAAGTCAATTCTAAAATCAAAATAATTTAAATCTTAAGTCAATTCTAAGATAAAGTTCAAATGATTTAAGTATTAAGTCTTTGAATTAAATCATTTTCTTTCAAGTCAAGTCATTTTCGCAAATTCTTAAATCGATATAAAGTGATTTAAGTCATCTTATGACTTAATTCCTTTAGTAAGTCGTTTTTATGACTTAAGTCTATATTTTTTATTTAAATCGTGATCTAAGAGTTAAGTCAATAAAATGACTTGAATCAAAAATTGTGATTTAAATCAAAATAATTACCCTTAAGTCAATACAACGATTTTTTAAATGTTAATAATAATTCCATGGTATTAATGATACTGATATTATTAATCCATTGTAGATACAGATCATAATAAACCACTATGTTAAGAATTTAAAACGATTTATTTTCAGAACACTTACAAACAAAATAAAAACCTAAAACACATTTTTTGAGTATATAGTAGACAAACAAAATAAAAACTTAAACCACCTTTTTTAGTTGAGTACATACAGGGAGGCTACTTTTTTATATACATAAATGGGTAACTTCTAAACGGTAATAGATTCAAACTCTGTTAAAATAGATAAAAGTTACAAATTAGACCTAACTACGCACGCATAACACGACGAATGTTGGCAAACAAAATAACAAAATTATAAATCCGCATTTTTTTCATTTATTTTAGACAGGACATTTTTTAATGTAGCCGTCAAACGGTTCCGAAAAGCTAACTTTACCGCGACGGTTTTTTTTATTCACTAGCGGTAGCAATTGTAGGTAGGAAATTAAAGGAGTTTTTGATCCGCTACCGCGTGAACTCCTGGCAGTTCAAAAGAAAATGCCGCTGTTAAAAATTTATAAAAAAATATATGAAAAATCTGACTTAAATATTTTCTAAAAAGACTTAAATCTTTTTAAATTACTTAAATAATTGATTTAAGCCTTTTATTAATGACTTAAGTTTTTTCTATTTTGAAAAAAATATTTAAGTCACAAATCATTTTGAAAATTACTTAAATTTTAAGTCTTAAGTCAGTTTTAGAGAAATGACTTATTACCAAATGACTTAAGTCATTAAAACGATTTAAATCAAAAAAACGATTTAAGTTTTCTGAGAGCTTGCAGCTCTGATACCTACAACAATTGTTTAAATTATTTAAAAATGAAGGAAATACAAAAAATCCTTGTAAATAGGTATCTACAATTAAATTATTTTTTTGTTTAATTTGTACCAATTTGTATAATTGCTTACCTACTGGGTTAAATTGTATATTAATAGAGTTAATTGATGGTTAGCCTCGCGAATTACCAGATGCACTTGTTAATTTTTTAAGTACCGGAAATTGCAGAAAAAATCTACGCTTATTAAAAATTACTTTCGAGTTTAAAAAACTTGTCAACAATGTTTTTACGTGTCAAGTTACTGATGTTTAAACGTCATTATAAATTTGAGATGCAAAACAGACTCTATGTTTATTTATTTTTATCGACCTAGTTTAAAAATAGTACATTTACAACCCATAAAAACGATTTAATTGAATTAAATGGACGTCGAAATATTACAAAATTAATTTGCGAAATATAAAACAAAACTCAGGATCGCAGATATCCTTGACGAAAACTGAAGTATAAGCAGTGCCAACATAATAAACTGACGTTAAGGCACTTCTGTCAACAAAGCAAAGCCTACCGAGAAAAGTTTGTTAATTTCGCTGCAAGAGCTTAAAAACACGATTTTAATTCCGTAAAAACTTTACGCCGTCGACTATTTAAGCACCGTTCGCGACACAAATTATTTATGATGATTGTTTGCCCAACCAACGGAAAATTGAACCACAGTTTACAGTTATTATTATTATTTTGAACTATAGAATCTCTAGTGAAAAAAAATATGTAGGTATTTTAGTAAGGATTAGAACAGATGTGCATGTGCATAAATATTTTTATTTACCATGCCAACTTTTAATTATCAAAATTAATTACGAAGTTGTCGCCAACTTTGCATATTTGGCAACATTGTTTGGTTTTTGCAGACGATTTGAATTACTTTTGAGAACACAATAAAAATTGATATTAAATGTAATAAAGCGCATTTAAAATTATTTATTGAACAATTTATATTGTTTTGATCCTAATGCGATTTAGATTATAAAATTATTTGAACAACTCATATTTTTTTGATAATGCGATTTAGATTACAAAATTTAATAGAAAATAATTTTACCAACTTGTGTAAATATGTCCATATTTAAAAAAAAAATCATTTTAAACAAATAATTAGTTTTTTAACAGCACATTTGACAACCATGTAGTTACTTTGACAAGTACACACAAAAATTTGACATTAGAATACAAATAATTGAGGTTCTGTCAGTTAATTTGGTATTATTTTCAGAAAATAACACGAAATTAGCGTCGAACTAGCATAAAAAAAGTAAAATGGGATGGGGCATAGTATATTTGCTCTAATTTAGTAAAAAATAAATCTTATACAGTGGAGGACACAGAATTTTGAACGTTATAATTTGGTTGTCCATGTATAAATTTGTAAATAGCAAAGAAACAATATTGCCCATTTTTGCTTTCGCTGTCAAAACGACAAGGCTAGTGATAACCGGAAGTAAGGTTAGTTGGCCATAAAGGAAGTTAAGATTTTAATATTAACTGGACGAAAGCCGTTCAAAATTCCGTGTCGGCCACTGTACCATTACCAACTGACAAGCGATAATTGATAGCAAATGGGGTGAATCTGGCACCGTCGCAATGCATCGCCTACCATTAATATCCTGAAACATTACACCCTAGACCATTACACCCACTTACTTTAGGGGCGCGAAACCTTTCAAATATGCCACGTCATGTCAAAAAAAGCATTTTGAGTGCAAAACATGGACTTGAATCATTCGATTTGGCCGTTAACTCATCTCCGATGGCTTTAATCGATGGAATATTGGTGACTCGGGGCTGAAAAGTCCAGGATTTAATTGAAAGGTCCCCATAAATAAATTCAATTAAGTTTCCAATTAGATTAAACTGGGTGGGTGGTTAACTACCCCCTTTTATCGACACCTACTTTAATTAAAAAGATTTTTGTCACATCTGAGTGGTTTTTGATGATGTCAAAGGGTTTAGAAGAGTCAATTATTGTTTTATGGACTTTTTATTTTGATTTTAGTTGTTAGTATATTTTTAGAATCAAATTATGTGGCTCATTTAATTTTGTTGCTTTATAACGGTTTTTAAACCCCTCATTTTACTTTATTACCAAGAGATCATGGTATTAGGCATATAATTTAATTTTGCTAACCAAAAAGGTTGGTAGCAAAAAACCTTTAGTCGTTCTACCCAAGATATTTTATTTATTTGACGAATACCGATCAAAAAGATCCAATAAACTTTCGTGTCCCAAATACGATTCACATGTAAACATTAAACCACATTCACTATAGGTACACACGGTCAAGAAATAATTAATTTTGTATTACGAAAACGTACCTATAATAAATTTGAGCCAAGGAAAAACGTTATTTTTTGTCTCGGGGTTTTTTAAATAAGAACGAACACTAATTTTTTGATCTGCTTACTACTTCACGAAGGTACCGTAAGAGGGTCGCAAATTATATTAAAACCTTTAAAGGGATTATTTGGGACACAACGCCCTGTGTAAGTGGATTAGTTAGTTAGTCTGTTACAAACTTTGAACTGAATTATGTAGTTTTTATTAGAATTTTGTAATGTAATTTGTAATTGAAAATTAATATTTAAATCGTATGACAGGGGTGCCACAAATACCACAGGCACTACCAACATAATAAAAAAAGTGTAATGGCAATATTTTGCAAATTCTTAAAAAAGAGAATATATATGGGAGATAGAGAATTCTCACGTTGTCATTTCTGATGAGATGAATTGTTAACGTATTCCAAAATAAAACATTGTAACAAATCTGTCTTAATGTTGCAAGATAACATCTTTGTTTTTACTTGAATCGTGCCTGTTTTTTAAACACGTCTATAGAACAAAGTATACTTTGTTCTTTTTCTGTGAATTTATAAAACAGATTATACCTAGTAAATGGATTATTCAAATTGGGTG